GTTTATTTATACAAATTAAGCTCCTTCAATGTAATTTATTTGCCTGTTTCACTCCAAAGTTTTGGGAGTTGTTTTTCCTTACAGTTCCTGTAATTTTTTAGTCATTATTTTGAAATTCACTTTTTTTTTCCCAATCATTTTTTAAAAAACTTCTCAGATTAAAAAAAATTATAGGCAAGTACTGTGACCTATTACCAAATACCAGAAGTAAATTCAAAATTAATAGCAGTTAATTCCATGCTTTGAGGTTTGGTATTTGTGGGGGTTTTGTTAACTGAAAGATCACGGCTACAGGCCTCCTTCACCTGCTGATGCTGTCCAGGCAAAGCTGGATTTGTCTTCCTTCTGTCTTCAAAGCCTGGAGCTTTTTGCTCTCAACTTGAACAGATTGTCTAAAATGAGTGTTCTTGGGAAAATGTAAATGTAATTGGCTTCTTGTATAAATTATCTTCTGGGAACGTTAATGAGGAGATTATTCCTCTTCAAAAAAAAATTTTTTTTTTAAATCTGCCTCTGTAATAATTCAGATTAAAGTTCTTTTAAAATCTGCAAGAAGTATTCTGAAGTGAACACATTATTGTTTTTTAGAATAGGAAATCTCATGGCAGTCTGAAATGTCTCAGAAATTAATTTTATAGAAACTAAGATTCATGTTTAACTTCAAATATTGTTCTTGTTTAACTTCAATTATTATGTAATTATTAGAAAATCGTGGGGCTGAGTGGAACTTTTGAGATTATCTGGTCAAATTCTTTTATTCCTCATAAAAACAGATGAGGAAGATGAAACCCAGAGAGATGAAATTGAAATCTAAAATTAATGAGCTTATCAGTGAAAGAGCCAGAAGTAAATCCCTGCTCTCCTGACTCCCAGCCCAGGTTATTAATATGAGCTTTTGCAGCTAGTGTTGGAAAAAAACAACCCTAATCAGATAAAGCTAATATTGATTTTTTTTCTTTTGTGTTTGCTATATCCAAAGTCCAAGTTTCTTTTTAAAAAGTTATTGTTTTAATTTTAGGTATTTTTATTATATTAGCTTACTCTTTGTTAAAAATGATTTCATTTATGCTAACATTTGAATACGGTGGTGTGGCAATACTAGTTTAAAGGAAATTCAAATCTATGAATAGAAAACATATTGAGAGAAAAAGGTATTTTTAATGGAAATAAACCTAAGATGTTGAGAATCCTCATGTTAATATAGTCAGTTGTATTCCATCCTTGCTAGATGGCCACATGATGAAATACTGTAATAGTAAGAATACCTTAATGTTTTGAGATGAAATATTTAAATAAAACTTTGTAGTGTCAAAGTGGTTCCAGTTATATTAGTCATTTAATCTTATTTTTAAAATTTTAAGTAGGAGAATATTAGGTTTCAAATGACTTAGCCTTACAGTTCGTGTTGCTCTTTTGTGAGAGCAGTGACAGGAATAGTTGTAGAGGGCTGGGTAAAACCCAGGGGTTATCTGCCTTTGTCTCGTGTACTGAGTGGCTAATCAGCCTCCTGGTCCGGCTCATCACTGACCATCTGGACTCACCCCAACCGGAGGCAAGATCCCAAACTAGATAGAAAATTAGTGTTTCCTGTTATTTCCTTTCCATTACTCTTGCGGCCCCTGGAGATGTTTCCACATCCCAAGAAGACCCAGTGTTCAGTATGCTAATATTTAGGGCATTCATGATGTCTACTAGAGAGACTATGTGTTGCCACCTAAGAGTGGTTATTTTAAAAAACCCATTAAAGGAGAGTGGTCCAAGGAGGCTGTGTGTTCTCCGTGGGACACTTAGCATTATCTGAGGAAGATGTGTGGTGTATAGCATGACTCATCACTGGAAAGACGTTGCAGGCCATCTCAGAATTAGGAAGACTTAAATACAACGGCAAGAAACTCAGTCTAGACTGCCAAAAGCGTTAGCATGAACTCTACCTTCCATCTAATGTCTATCCACAGCCCAGCCCACCTCCCAGTACCGGTTAGCATTTCACCAAGAATGTGTGGAAGCAGCTGAGCTTGCAAATGAATGAGCAGAGAATAGTAGAAATATATTCCTATAACAAGTTAAAAAAATGTCATGGGACGATTGATCTGTCTGGTAAGTGACTGGCATGGAAGTGCCCTCTCACCATCTACCAGCGCTAAGAGGGAAGGAGACCGTAGAGCCTCCTTCCTGTTCTCTGTTCAGTCGTCCCTGAATTCTCCCAGCAACGGGAAGTCAGTCTAACTTTGTCAATAGATTTCCCTTCCTGTTCTCCCTTCGTTCAAGGTTCTGTCTCTACCTTGATGGTTCTGGGTCTACCAAGTGACAGCCTAGCTTGGTTGGAAGCTAATATGCTCCCCCCCAAACAGGAAGCTGGTGCTTCTGACCAGCAGTCATCCGTGGACTTGGACTTTGAAGTCCAGAAACCTGATCCTTCTATGACTAAAGGTCTATATGCTTCAGGTGTCAATCAGAGTGTACTCTGTGACCTTGGGAAATATTATCTGTGCAAAGGTAACTCAGCTGTTTAGAGGGGTATTGCCACCAGTGAATAGCTCAGCACAACTGGAGTGATAAAGTGGACCATGGGGCTTAAACTCCCAGCAAGTTTGTGGGCTCTTGAATGAATTATTTTTGCAACTGATAATCTCAGTTCCAGACATCCTTTCATAAATACCATGAATAATGAAATGCTGTCAGCACCTGGAGGGTGAGTTAGGTGAGCCCAGAGCACTCAAAATGATGTTTTGTTTCCAAGAATTTTCCATTGTTTAAGTCAGGATTTTTCTTGCCTGAATCTACTAATTGTCCTGTGTGTGTCTCCCTTACTAGATAATTGAAAACCCGGATGTCCCACAGGAATTCGGGAATCAAGGTACTGAATTTGATTTTTGCAAGTTCAGTTTAAAAAGCGGGTGTTAGCATGCCTCCTGCGTGCTTGGTGTTGGGGCTGTAGGGATGAGCAGTGCTCAGGATCGTCCACCACTGTCCTTGGAGCTTCTGCTTAGCTTTGCTTTACAGGGCATGATTTAACCACTGTTGTCTTCCTTCTGTTCCTGCACTGTTATGCCAACCACACCTATTCCTGTTCCAACTGTGTGGGGGAAATGAACTCTTCATAGACCTTCCTGCTGGAGGCTTGTTTTTTTAGTTACTTTGTTCTTTGTGAAATAAGGTTTATTAAACATTAAAATGAGAATGGGATAGAGGGTTGTAGAAATGTGATTGGTACAAAATGCTATTGCACCCGAAGTATATTTATGAAGTACCAGTTTTTTGATATGGAAAATGAGTCATCTCACAGGGAATCTTGCAGGACAGAAATCAAGGTAAGGGACTTTCATTCTGACCCAAAGGAAAAGAGCAAACAGGTCTACATATAATTGACAAACAGTCTGATTTTTTAAAAGTTTGGTAGTATTGTTTTCTGAAAGCGATATGGAAAATTCACGTAATCTGATTTTTAAAATGGAAATGTATGTTTATTTCAGATTTCATTCAGTGATTTAAAAATATTGGAAAAACTGCTTTTTAAAAATATTTTTGCAAGTTAATAGTAGGGAGAAGGGGTGGAGTAGAGAGATGAAAAAAGAGAGGGAGTGAAAAGGAGAGAGCTGAACAGCCATAATTTAGGAGAAAGGGGGTAAATGAAATAAATGAAAGGTATCTTGTCATTTTCTAAGTGTATTTAGTCACATCTCACTCTATTCTTGGGCTGTGGACCAGAAGTGCTACAGAATCTCTTCACCTTCTAATGCTACCAGTGATAGGCTCCAACATTTTCTACCCCTCTTTCCTTCTCTTTTGGAAAGAGAGAGTTGGAGTTCTGATAAAATCTTCCCTTTAATGCAGAATGATTTTATAAACCAAAAAGGAGGTCAAAGTCCTCTTGATCAAAGATACACCTTTAAAATATATATATTAGTAAAAAAATTGATGGACTCATTTGAAATGTATCTAAAATTGAGTTTAAGGACCACTTATGTGTTTTACTTATTTTGAACTATGTTTTATCATTGTACCTTACCATTTCTCATTTTTTCCCCCTGAATTTAAGATCTTAAGTTCTGAGGATCAACCATTTCTCTTTCCCCTGCCCTCTCCCAACTTCAATTTTCTCTTTTATACTCTGGCTAGTTTTTCCTCTATCTTCCTTGATTTCCTTGTCATCCATTCATTTATTTATACATTCATCAAATACTTGGCCACATTTATATAGATCTTTACAGGTTTTTATTAATAAAAAACAAATGCTTCCACTTGTTACTTCACTTGGCCCAATTATTCTGTGTAATTGATATTACTTATCTCATTTTGCCAAAAGGAAAACTGAAGCTTACCCAAGCTCATGCAGTCAGCAAGCTGTGGACCAGTTCTTAAGCAGATTCCAAATTTCAGCCCTTTCCCAGTACACTCCAGTGCTTCTCTGGGAGTTTTGTTGCTAGTTTTTGGACATGAACATGTTTTTATTGTTTTTTTTCTGATATTTGCTGTTACTCCATTAAGACCATGTGCTCCAAGGAAGTGGGTGAAGGTGGTGAACAAATTGTTTGGCCCTTTTTCTGTAGCTTCCTAGTTTGAAAAGCCCACCTTTCTTCCATGTTCTGGTACCCCATTTTTCGTACCCCATTTTTTCTCTTTGGGGTACAATCCTACTCACAAAACCCAGAAAAACAAGAGGTCAGAATAAAGGATACATGTATAGTCTATTGGCCTAAATAATGAGAAGATCATTGTCAGTTGTGTTGTTTCTTAACCAAATATCTTTTCATTAAATATGAATGAATTTTATAAGAAACAATCCATTATTTTCTTTCTGGACTCTTTTGAGTGTTTTGCTTTAGAAAGGAATTATTGTATTTAAAGCATTACATTTTGGTGGCCTAAGGAAGGCTCAGCATCTGAGAATCATCTCTTCAAGTCCTGAAAACATCAGAAATGAAGGACGAGAAGGGCTGTGGAGGGAGCTCCAAGTGGCCCTGCCCATGTCTAATGCCTGAGCCTCCTCTGTTTGCAGGGTCAACAGTAGAGGTCCTCTGTGACGACCTTGTGTCCGTGCTCACTGTTCTGTGTGAGAAGCTACAAGCCGCCATCAGGTCAGTGCCTTCAGCATCGGTGTTACTCACGGTCTATTCCTGAGGTCACTTGGGTCTGTAGCATCATGTAAAATGGCAGAGTAGAGGGACAACGGTTCTTCCCATTGGCATTCATTTCTGAGAAATATATTCAGCGGCCTTGGGCAAGCCTGCGTTACCCAGTACTGTTGCTGATGGATATCATTCCCTGATGAGAAAATGCAAAGAGGAGTCCACCCCTCGAGCACGGGTGTGAATGGAAAGGCTGCCGGCTGAGAGCTGGTTGCGGGGAAGGCTGGTCCCCACCCGGACCTGTCCCAGCTGTGACTCTGAGTCTTCTCATCAAACTGTTGCACCTTTCTCCTCTGTGAAAGGCGGAGTTGGACTCTGCGGTCTTTTTCTGTTTCTTCCAACATTTCCTGAGCCTCTGAGCTCACATGCATATCTTTAAAAATAGAACATTACTCTGACTTTTACATACATGTCATTTTTATGTCAATTTAATCAGCTGTCAAGGATGCTCCTCCTCTACCCCACCCCTCCCCCCAGGTCTTAGCTTTATAGGGAATAAAACAGAGGCCACCAAAACTCTGCAAAATACAATGGCTGTGTTTATCCCTCTGCAGGAAATAAGGGAAAACCAATAAGCTAAACGTTTTTTTCCTGAGTAGTTTGCTAAGGGAAAACTCTACAGTTTTTAAGTGCTAGAAAAGTGTGGGAGCTTATGGTAATCATGCCATTAATAACCCAAAACTAGCCATCAGGATAAGTCAGAATGAGTCTATGGGTCTACAAATGATAAATTTAAAATGTGTCTTTGTTGATTGGTTGGGAAAGAGTCTTCAGCTAAGTCTGGTAAGGGCTTTAAGTTCATGGATGGCTTTAAAACCAGCTACAGGGTCATCCCCTCCCCCATGTGTAGAGTGACCATGTGACCTAGTGTACCTGGGACAGTCCAAGTTCATGCCTATTGTAATTATTATAAACAGTCAGTGTTGATACCTTCTCAGAAGTACTGGTATAAGCGGAATTTTTCAACTGCACAGTGCCTATGGTATGGTAAGGACTTGATAAATGTTAGCTCTAAAATGGTTTCTTTACTTTCAGCATTGCCAGTGCTAATTATAGTTCATGATGCAGTTGACATGAGCTTCTCACATCAGAAATTTGACTGTAGGTTGTTAGGAAGATACATTGTATGAACATTTGTTGCAAATGTGCACATACACAGATTCTGAAGGTCATAGGTTTCTGTCAGCTACTAAAAAACACCACCATATGACTTGAGAATTGACTTTAAATGGGGGAAATAACTCATGTGACTACATATGTTTTTCTAGAGTTTCTGATTGGACATTGGATAAAGATACCTTAGGCATATTGTTATCTACAGTTTAATAGTTTTTATAGGATTCTCATCACCTTGCTTGGTTTCCCAATGCACTTCTCCAGGAATTCTGCCTCCCAACACTGTTCACATTGTTTGAATCTGGTTTTTCCCTTCACGATTCCATTACCCTAAATGGGGGTTCTGTTGCTAAATGGGGGATGGAGGATGCTTACTGCAGCTTAAACTGGAGACCTTTAAGCCCACCTGGTCAGGTGGTACTATGCTCTTGGTGCTGTCACTCTGATGGTTCTGTTAATTCTCCTTGTTTTCACACCTTCTACAATTTCTTTTATTTTACTTCCTTGACTCATTGTATTTCTATTAGCTAAACTTGACACCTCTCTTACTGTCTAAACACTTTCCTCTAAAATCACGCTATGGTCAGTACGTCCCCTCAACAACCATCTCCAGAAGTGATGCTCAGATGCCTCCTAGGGCGTTAGCTCTGTGGGATTTGTATTCATGATACGCTCAGTCTCTCAGGAGGATCCAGAGAATGCATTCAGGCGCTCAGAATAACTCACCTGCCTCGGAGATACGGTATTAATAGAATTCTATATTCGGCAAGTGGAGTTACATGATGTTTAATCCAAGAATATTTGGAAGGATAATTGGGCTTAGGAAGATGCTTATTCATTCCCTCCCTGTGCCTCTCCCACCCTCTCCCCTCCCCGCACAGAATGTCAGGGAGGAATCTGTACCAAAGCAGCCTTGGAATCAATGAGGCACAGTTAAGTGTTCATCTCGTGTGTTCTAATTCCAGCCCACTGCTTACACTGTTACTTAAGTCCCTCTCTCCTTTTTCTAACTAAATTTGGACTTTTTAAGGAAGCAGAATCAAATGGTTCAAGGTAAAACTCCGGAGATCCAGAATGTGCCGCCCTACTGCCTGGCGGAGGCCTTGCTGGGAGGGCGGCTGCTTAGCCCCCATGGCCCCTGCGGCACTCGTGAGACTTGCTGTCCATGGATCATGCACCTGGGAGGAAATTCAGAGATGAGCAGAAAATGAGACCAGCAGATACTCAGCCTGCCAGCCATGAAATGCTCAAACAAAAGACCAGGCAACGTGACTCACACCCTCCTGAGTAGACAGATTTTTCCCTAGTGTGTTTTGAAAGAGTTGGCTGGTTTCTAGGCTCTTATGTGCATCTCACATAGTTGTCTGTCTAGAGGCAGACAAATATGAAACACACATATACACACTGTGCACACATCTGTGTGTGTGCACTGAGGGGCATGGTGTGGATGGTGCTTACATTTCCAACAGCTCCTCTAATGATATGACTCATGTACGGTCACGAGCACCTGTTTTTCCAGACTGCTGCGACGCACAGAAAAGCTGCCACATTCGGTCTCCAAGGAGACTCCCGGGCCAGTTACCTTGGCAATGCGTTCTCCCTGTCATCCAGCCTAATGCCTTGGGCTTGCTGTGGCATACTTTGTAGATACTCATAGGAACCTTGACTGCTCATGGTTTCTCTATAGGTTTATTTCTAGTGATTCCATTAGTTGAGAATTTTTATTGTCTATAATTATTTTATCTATCCCCTGTCCACCTCTCCAGTTTGTGTCCTGCTGGTGACATCCTCACACACTTTCCTCCAACTACAAACCTCCCCACCCACCCCGTGCTTTGCACACAGCCTCTCCCCAGGGCCTCCCTGCAAGACTCCAACTTGAACTTTAGGTCTCTGCTGATGTACATTTCCTTTGGGAATTCTTTCTGAATCTTTCTAAGGAGGGTCAGATGCCGCTCCTATATGCTCTCGTAGAACCTTGTGTTAAATTACCCACAGCACTTCCTGCACCGGGCTTTACCTACTTATCTCTCCAGTCCCACAAGAATGAAGGATGTGCTGTTTCCGGTCAGGAACTATGTTTTGTTCAAAAGTGTAGGGAAGCTTGTGTGTGTGGTTGTATAAACACGGGAAGTCTGTACCTGGCCGGCCAAAGACTGGCTGATCATGTCTTGTCTTTCTTCCCCTTGCTCTTGGCAAAAGAGGAATAATTTTTGAGGAAACTCAGCCTTGACCTCTGTCTTCCTCCACCCTCAGAGGTGTAGAGTACATCCAAATAAAAGTGGAATTCTCTTTTTCAAAATAATCACATTATTTTCATCACTGTACAGTTTTCCCTGAACAAGGGAGATCTGTAGTCAGCTAACGTTTTCCATGAAGAGCCACATACCGTCTCCGTTTCCTGTTCATTTTTGGTTTGGTTTTGTTTACAACCCTTTAAAAATGTAAAAATCTTTCTTAGTTCACAAGTCATGGCAGGATTTTGCCCTCGGGTTGTAGCTTTCCAACTGGTTTTAAAGCTTAATGTCAATTTTACTGAGCCCTGTCACCGAGGTATTTAAGGTAGCACTTAAGTGAGGGTCCCCAGCCCCATCTTCTGACCCTTGCTGACAGCTGCATAGCCTTTCTCAGCCTGGCTAGTGGATGGATGTGCCCTTCTGGGCTTTGGGATGGTCTGCTATTAACTTTGCTTCCTTCCTGTCTCCTTAAGTTTCAGGTCTGCCTGTCACTGGTCATCTTGCCTTTTCCTTTTGCCTTCTTCCACTGGGACTTACTTGAACTCTTAAGGGCATTAAGCTTCCTTTGGGCATTTATTTACTTTAAATCAGGAGAAAAGAAAGGCAACCAAAATTATTTTTTAAAGTAAGTTTCTCCTTTCACTAAACATTCTCATTCCATTCAGGATTTCTGAATGAATTCTCTTAAAAGTGTTTATTATACATTTGTAGTAAGTGTGCCCTTGATCATTAAATTCTTCCTTACTTAATTCTGGTGGGGTGAGGAGCAGACGTAACCAGGGCATAGGAATGTGCTTGCCAGCCCTGGCTGGGTGGCCCAGTTGGTAGGAGCGTCGTCACGGAGCTGGTTCCTTCTCAGGGCAGGGGGAAGGATCTACTCCAAGCCCCTCTTGGCTTGTAGGTGGCTGCCTTCTTCTTGAGTCTCTCCACATTATCTTCCCTCTGTACAGCTCTGTGTCCACATTTCTTCTTTTTATAAGGACCCTGGATTTGGCCCCAGTCTAATGACCTGACTTTAACTTTATTGCCCATGTAAAGAACTTATCTCCAAATAAGCTCACGTTCTGAGATACCAGAGGCTAGGACTTCAACACATGAGTTGGGGGTAGGGACACAATTCAACCCGTAACACTAACCCCCCCCCCAAATTAACATTTCTGTAATGCCTGCCAAATGTTTCCCACACATCACCTCTGTAACCTTGCCTTTGTTTTGTGTGCCTCTGTCCGCGTGTGGCCTGGCTCCGCAGTGACAGTCAGCAGCTGCAGCTGCTGTACCTGGAGTGCGTCCTGTCGGTGCTCAGCAGCTCCTCCTGCTCCATGCACCTGCACCGAGGCTTCACCGACCTGATCTGGTGAGCGCCCTCCTGCCGCCCCACGCCAGCCCCAGGGCTCGCTCGCCCAGCTGTGTCTGTGGGTCCTTCCCGGAGCCTCCATGACCTACCAGTCGTTTCATCTGGGTGTAAACGTTTTTGAGGGAAAGTAGGAAGTTGCTTTGCTTACATGCACCAGAGAGAAACTGATGATTACTGTGACAAAATAGGCCCCCAAGGCCCTCTTGCATTTTGTTTACATCATAGGATCATAAGACTCAGAAATGAGGAAGTTATTTTCTAGGTCATTCGTTTGTTCTAAAAGCATATAAAGGCTCCAGAAAGTTATGAAGGGGGGAGGGACAAGAGATATTCAACATTATTCTTGGCCTTACCCTGGTACATTCTCTCTCTCAACCTGAAAATACTAGTCACTTAGTCATAGTCAAGGGAGTCGCACGAGTGACAGGCATGCAGGCAGCCAGCTAGTTGTTCTGGGTTCCTGGGCTTACCCACAGGGAGGGATATGGATGATATGTGTCAAGATTTTAAATCAACCTCTCAAAATAATTTTGTTACTTGAAATGAAACTTTATAACTGAGCCATTTCACAGTTTGAGTCTGGTCTCTGGGTGTTTCTCTTGATATTTTATTTAGTTAACCCTAGCTTGACTGATGAGAAAAAAGTATTTTATTCATATATCCAGAAATGATGGAGAGATGTGGAAAACTGGGGCAGGACTTAGCCAAAATAGGAGTAGGGAAGAACCCAACTGTATAGTCGTTTGTGTGGCATCTGGTGTTTGCACTCAAGATTGTATTCACATTTGATCCTTAGGCTTGTAGTGAAACTCATTTTTCTCCCCACCTCTTTCCCAGGAAAAACCTTTGCCCTGCTCTCATCGTGATCCTGGGGAATCCAGTTCATGACAAAACCATCACCTCTGCTCACAGCAGCAGCCCCAGTGCTAGCGCGGAATCCGACTCTGCGTGCCCAGGAGTTTCCGACCATGGCCGGGGCTCGGGCTGTTCCTCCACCGCCCCTGCCCTGAGCGGGCCCGTGGCTCGGACCATCTACTACATTGCAGCCGAGCTGGTCCGGCTGGTGGGGTCGGTGGACTCCATGAAGCCCGTGCTCCAGTCCCTCTATCACCGCATGCTGCTCTATCCCCCACCGCAGCACCGGGTGGAAGCCATCAAAGTCATGAAAGAGGTAGGAATGCCACCCCTGTGGGCGTGGGGGTCCTGAGCACAGTGTTTTCAAGCAGGAAGCACTCAGAAGATGTTTGCCAGTCACCTGCTAGGACTCAATTGCTACCACACTGTATCCAATAATGGATAGTCTCTCTAGGGTTGAGGGGTGTACCAGGTCTAGCTAGTCTCTGTCTCCTGCTTGTTGCCTTCCTTTTGTCTTTCTGGACTAAGGTTCATAAATCACCACTGTCGGCAGTTTTCCCACTCTCTAATGACTCCTGAGTGTCTCTCAAGTCTGAATTAATCTGCCCAGTTTCTAGATGGTTCTGTCTTCATTCTCATTTCCCATCCTTTCCCGGGATCACCCTGATTCCGTCTGACCAACCCTGCTCTGTTCAGTTCCCACCTTCCCGTGTCTATTCAGAGCCCTCCTCCCCGGGTCCTGTTGGCCACTTCCACTTCACAGAGCTCAGTGGTTGATTACAATAGGCCAGACACTGCTGGCACCTCACTTTAGCTTATTTACAGCCTCCCTTAGGAAGATAATATGCCAGTTTCCAGGTGGACAACTGAGGCTCCATGAGAAGTTGCTACTCGCCGCAAGTCCTTGTGAGTAGTGGAGTTAAAACACGGATCCAGGTGTTCTAAGTATAGCTGCCTCTTTGCTGTCAGAATCCTCCTCTATGGCCCTGCTTCCTCAGACCACTGATTTTGCTCTGCTTCAAATCCCATCCCACCACTTAGAACTGATTCTATGCGTCAGCACACTGATTGGTTTGCAGCTCAGTGTGGAACAAACTTCTGGTCTCCTAAATATGTTTCTGTATATGTTGCTTTTGTGTTTCCCCTGGTACCTGACACTGCAGTGCTTGAATCAGAATAAGCGTTTAATATATTTTGACTGTGACAGATGGGCCTGAAAACAGACTATCTGCAAAGAGAGTATTTTGTAAGCAGCAGCAGCCTCACAGTTGACAGGCGCTGGAGTTGTTGCTGCCCGGGGTAGAGCCACTTGATACCTGAATGCTAAAAATACTTTGCCTCCAGGGTGTGTAGGTGTCTAAATGCATTTTAAATAACTATTTTACTAGTGCAAAGGAAATGAGTTATGCTGTCCCCTTTTTCATGGGCGATCTAGCTTCCCAAGGTTATTTTGCAGGCAAGGCTGGGATTAGACGCTAGCACCTGAGCAGCAGGTCCAGGCAGTGCTGCCCCAGAGCACAGCGGACTGACGTGGGCCGGGTGGTTCTGAAAAGCAGTGCCGGTGAAAGCACCGACAGTTTGGGAAGCTTGGTAACCTAGAAACCAAATGTGCTGGGTTTATGTACACAAAGCCACCGGGCATCCAGGATGTTTGTTTAGCCTTTTGGAGTTTGAACCCTGGCGCGTTATTTCCTGTTTTCTTTGTAATTTGTCACACTGCCATGTGCACCCTGTGCGTTTTAAAGACATGCAGGAAAGTTTGTTTTTCAAAGTCTATTTTCTTTTCTGTTTCCATTTCCCCCCCAAATGATCAGTAAACAGAAAGCACACCTTGCTTCCCTTTCTCTCTCCCATAGTTTGGCTTTAGAAGGAGTTTCCTTATCTTTATCAGACCTATGACACCCAAACCCTCATTTCATATCCCTCATTCCCACCCAGAGAAGCTGACATTGAACATGTCTTCCCTCTTGTTAACTATTTGTTGAGGGTTCTTCATAAGCCTAATTATTCAGTCCCCTTTCCCTCCACATGTTTTTGGAAACAGCTGAGTAATAAACACAAGATTAATGTAGAAATTGATATAAATAATCTAATTTATTACTGGTAAAGCTAGATTAGAGAATGTAATGGATCCCAAGAGAAAGTGATATTTCCCACTCCATTGTTCCTGAAATGCATCTGCTCTTCTAGAAGAAATGGGCCAGCTAGAGGCCACTTCATTTGGATGTAGGCCTGGCAGTGTGTGTGTGTGTGTGTGTGTAGGGGGGATTTCAATGTCAAAGAAATAGAATGTGGAGAAAAAAGTGGAAGCTTCATTTCTTTGCTGCCAGGAGGNGTGTGTGTGTGTGTGTGTGTGTGTGTGTGTGTGTGTGTGTGTAGGGGGATTTCAATGTCAAAGAAATAGAATGTGGAGAAAAAAAGTGGAAGCTTCATTTCTTTGCTGCCAGGAGGACAGAAGTTACCAATTTCTGGGGTAAAAAAGAAATATGGAAAAAGGGGAAGAAGAGTGCCCCTTAAGATATAACTTTTTCTACTTAATATACTTTTCCAGCAAATATAATTCACTTTGAAATTAATGGACATGGCATAGGATACTAGTTCCAATACACTTAATTAACCAGTCTTTTTTTTAGTTAATTTAGCCTCAAATTGAAATTTTCCATAAAGAAATTTCTACGATATGGAAATAAAAATTAATACTGAACAATTATGAAAATTCTATACATGAAAATTTATAAGATGCAGCCAAAGCAGTGCATAGAAGGTTGTTTATAGCTTCAATTGCTTATATTAAAAGATAGTCTAAAATTAATGTTCTAATTCTTCAACTTGGGTAGTTAGAAGATAAAGATTTGATTAAATTAAAAGAAAGCAGAAAGGAAAAATAAGAATAAAAGCAGAAAGTTATGTAATAAAAAGCAAATGTAATATAGTAGATCAACAAAGTGAAAAATCCCAGAACTCTGAAAAGACTAAGAAAATTTAAAAACTCCTGGCAAAGCAATCAAAAAATTCCAGAATTGTTAAAAACAAATGAAAAAAAATGCACATAACTATAGATGTTATAAACATTAAAGAAGGTATTAAGACAACCTTAGGCCAGTAAATTTAATAATTTAGATAAAATCAATAAATTTCTAATAAGTAACACAACCTTTAAGGAGTTGGCTCATGACGAAATTGATTGACCTAAGTAGTCCCATTATCTTTAAAGTAACTGAATCAGCAGTTAAAATCTTTCCATTTAGAAAAAATTACTGACCCCGTACAGCTTTAGAAACATTCCAGGAATGGGTAATTCTAATATGGGAACTTTTCCAGAGAGTAGGAAGAGGGAGTACTTCTCAACGCAGTTTTTAAAGCTAACCAACGTGATAGCAAAATAAGACAGAGAGAGAATAGAACAGTTAAATTACAGGCCAGTCTCTCTGAAGAACATTGATGTAAGTGCTTTCTAGTTCTGTGCTGTAAAAAAATTTGAAACAGTCCTCAGAGCATTATCTTGGTCTAAGCCAGTCCTGAACTGAGGAGCTGGGAACGCATGTACACTCTACGTCAAGAACACCCAGATCAGTTCTATTAAGATTTGACTTCCAAATAGCGATGTTTCTCCTTACACTGTATCACTCAGTGGAGAAAGTACATGTTCATTTGAGCTCACAGTTTCAAAACCTTTTTTCATTTTATTCACTTTTCCATTATTTCCCCCCCACTTTTTTATTACAGCTACTTGGGAGCCCACAGCGTCTCTGCGATTTGGCAGGACCCAGTTCCACTGAACCTGAATCCAGGAAAAGATCAATTTCAAAAAGAAAGTCTCATCTGGATTTTCTCAAACTGTATGATACCTTCTCCTTTTTAGGTCTCTCTTGCTTGGCAAAGACTGCTTCTCTGAATGCTCTTGACTTTGCTTTGAAATCCCTGAAGTTGTATGAATCTACACTATATGAAATGTGACTATTTAATAACACACCCACAGGCCATATGAGAAGGCTTATCCCAATTTCTTATAATCATATAACTTTCCGTATTTTCATTTGACTTAAAAAACCCAATGTACAAAATGAACTATATGAAAATTATTCATTGGGCTTATTTTAGGGAAAACCTTTTTGAATAAATTACAGTAGCTATAGGATTCCTCTTTTAGTTATAGGACTCCTTTCAGCTATAGGATTTCCTTTTCCCCCTAGAAAGTTAAATAGTATCTGATTTGTAGGAACTGTATTCTCATGCATTCTCATGTTCAGGAATATGTTTATTTTATAGAAGATGTGCACATTNAGGAACTGTATTCTCATGCATTCTCATGTTCAGGAATATGTTTATTTTATGGAAGATGTGCACATTATCNTGCATTCTCATGTTCAGGAATATGTTTATTTTATAGAAGATGTGCACATTATAATCATAGCCATTATAACTGTTTTCTGTTTGAAAACTGAACATAATACAGTGGTGAGATGATTCATTACCTGCCCTTGTGAAGATGATAAATTCCCACCTGGAATTTTGTTTCTACCCAAATAAACCGGTCAACCCCAAGAGTGTGATTCGAGGAGGGCCACTTTCCCTGGAGGTTTTCCTCTGCCAGCCTGAGCATGTTAGTTTCAGTTACATTTTGCCCAAACCATTCAATTTCAGGTAAACTAGAGCATATGTGTTGAATACTATGCTGTTCACCAGCCTAACAATCCTTGTTCATTTTGGAGCATTTTGCCACATTTCATGTATTGATGCCACTTTCTCCTTTGAACACTTTTAGCATCATGGATGGCATGACTGAAGCGTGCATCAAGGGTGGCATTGAAGCTTGTTACGCCGCCGTGTCCTGCGTCTGCACCTTGCTCGGGGCCTTAGACGAGCTCAGCCAGGGCAAGGGCTTGAGCGAAGGCCAGGTGCAGCTGCTGCTGCTGCGCCTGGAGGAGCTGAGGGACGGCGCTGAGTCCAGCAGGGACTCCATGGAGATCAACGAGGCCGACTTCCGCTGGCAGCGGCGCGTCCTGTCCTCCGAGCACACGCCGTGGGAGTCGGGGAACGAGAGGAGCCCCGACATCAGCATCAGTGTGACCACTGACACGGGCCAGACCACTCTGGAGGGAGAGTTGGGTCAGACCACACCTGAGGAGCCCTCGGAAAACCACAAGAATGGCCTCAAGTCCCCGGCCATCCAGGAGGGCAAGGAGCCGCCGAGCAAAGCGTCCGAACCAGAGGCGGGGGACCAACCAGACGTCGTTCAGAGGAGCCACATGGTTGCCTACCCCGACATAACGAACTTCCTGTCGGTGGACTGCAGGATGCGCTCCTACGGGTCGAGGTACAGCGAGAGCAACTTCAGCGTGGACGACCAGGACCTCTCCAGGACGGAGTTCGATTCCTGCGACCAGTACTCGATGGCAGCGGAAAAGGACTCCGGGAGGTCTGACGTGTCGGACATTGGCTCGGACAACTGCTCCCTGGCCGATGAGGAGCAGACCCCTCGGGACTGCCTGGGCCACAGGTCCCTGCGAACCGCCGCTCTGTCCCTCAAGCTGCTGAAGAACCAGGAGGCCGACCAGCACAGCGCCCGGCTGTTCGTGCAGTCGCTCGAGGGCCTCCTCCCTCGGCTCCTGGCCCTGCCCAGCGTGGAGGAGGTGGACTCGGCCCTGCAGACCTTCGCCTCTACCTTCTGCTCAGGTGGGCAAACAGTTTTTCCTGCGTAGTCACCGAGAATATTCGGAGCAATTTGCCTTAACGGGCAATGACTGTCGTGCTTGTTTGAGGTGCTTCTAGCGTCTTAATGAACCTTTGGGTTTCTTATATTTAAAGAGAGTGAAGAAATGTAAGACTTACTGGTGGCGGTTTGTTTGAATTATAGGCAGGTGATGGCTGGAATACATACTCTGAGGGCGATAAATGCATAGTGTGAAATGACGGACAAGAGGTAACTTTCTAGAAAACTACTGCCGACTGAAACGGGCAATCTGTGATTCCCAAAACACTGGATTCTTTTGTTTGTTTGTTTGTTTGTTTGCTTGTTTGTTAATCCTTCCCCAAGGATATCTTTCCCATTGAGTTTTAGAAACAGTGGAAGGGAGGGAGGAAGGCAGCCCTGACTCCCATAAGTGTTGCAAACTGCTCAAATTTGACATGTCTATAAAACGTCCCATCGGACCCAATATGTTGTGACATTAATTTTTACATGTAGAAATCAATACGTTGAAAAGAGACATCAGAATCTTTTGATTGTTTCCAAATACAGTTTTTAGTGATTGTCTGTTACTGTGCTAGTCGTTTGTCTTTAAATTGTAGTGACCTCCACAATGTTTTCACCAATTAGGAGTTGGTCTGTTTCCAAATTACAGACCCATCACTCTGTGGTCTTGCTACCAATAGGCTAATTCTCCTCAGTGTCCGCTGTGGTTTAGTGGATCACGTTGACTGTCACTGTGGGTCAACCAAAGCCACCAGATGCTGGCCTAGGCCACCTCTGGACTGAGGCAGTGCTTTCCCTCCCCTTGCAAGTGTCACCTCCAAGATGGAAGATTAGTAAAAGAGAAACATCTATACCCATTTGAGGCAGGGAGATGGCCAATTTCCTTTGTTCACCCAAGAGAAAGTTACAAAAGTGAAAACAGGAGAAGGGAAGAAGACAGTTTCCCTGAGTCAGAATCATTACTTACTTGATGTCAAAAGCATTAAACCTTGTTTTGCCAAAAAACCCCATCGAGCATTTGTCCCTGACCAGTCACCAGGGCCTTCCCTCTTGGGTGAAATCAGACTCAGCATTTTCCTGGGACCCCCTGTTCTCAGACAGCTAACATACATACACCTGAAATGAGCCTCCTTATTTCTGTGTGATTTAAGGGAGCCTGTTTTTGGAAAGCAAAGACAGTTTCTTGTGGTCGGGGAGTTTGAAAACTTTCAGACCAACATGGGTTTTATAAAGATGGCAGTGGGCGTAAGCTGCTGTAGCTGCTGAAATGCCTCCTGATCCTGTGTAGAACAGTGGCACCTGCATAAGGTGGCTCCTTGGGGACTAAGAACAAGAGCTAACCTCACACAGCGATCGATAGAGGGACCTGAGCACTTGGCTTATAGGTCGCAGTCCCTTAGGTTCGTGGTGTTCAGTTATGATGGAGAGACCTACTCTGCCCGAATGCGAGCCTCGCTGCGAGCCGGGGAAGCTGACATGCCACTGAACCCTGGAAATCTACACTAAGGAAGCAAACTCAAGCAGAGATCGTATCAGAATGCATAAAGCGGCATCATTTCACAGCAAAGATGTTAGAAATAACCTAAATGCCCCCAAATAAGGGAAAAGTTAAATGAGTTATAGTTCAGTGGTACCTGGGTTTTCGAATGCAATCCATTCCAGAAGACCCTTCGAGTCCTGAAACATTCGAAAACCCAGGACTCCGCAGCCCACGGCTGGGCCTCAGGATCTTGCCCTCAGCGGCAGCCGCGTGGCGTGTTCCACTTCCGAGACGTGTTCAGAAACCGAAGCATTTCCCTCCGGGTTTACGGCGTTCGTAAACTGAAATGTTCGCCGACGGAGACGTTTGAATACCGAGGCACCGCTGTACATCCATTTATGATGTCATGTAGTCATTTAAAATGAAGTTTTCAGATAATATTTAATGATATGGATAATGGTCATAATACAATTTTTTTTGCTTTAAACATTTTTTTATTTTTAATTTAAATAATTTTTATTTTCAATTATAGTTGCCATACAATATTATATTAGCCTCAGGTGTATGCCCGTGATTAAACATTATGTAGCTTACTAAGTGATCATCCCAGTAAATCTAGTTATACCCACCTGACACCATACATAGTTATTACAATATTCAAAAGGATTCAAAATTGACATCAAAATGTTAATAGTTATCTTAGAATGGTATGATTATAGATTATTTTTATTTTCTTCTCTGTAACTCTTTCCAAATTGCTAAAAAAAATATTCTTATAGCTTCTGTCATCAGAAAATTAGAATCATAGACTTAAAGAAATCTGTTATCAAGAAAATCACATAATGTGATTACAAAGGTTTAAGAATTTGACAATGCACAGCAAGCTGAGTGGGTAGAAGAGTGTTCTTGCACATAGTGGGTAGGAGGGAGGATTGGTATAGAACTATTTGGAAGGTATTTTGGTTGCATCTATCAAGATATGTCTTTATTCTGTTCTTGGGAATTTAATCCCACAGATACACTTGCAGAAGTGCTAAAAGTTACTTCATCCTTCCAGCTTTTGTCGTAAAGAACATCTTAATAACAGAAGGAGAGAATGAACTTTATAGAACACTGGGAAAATAAAATAGAATATGTTAAAGGCTGTAGTTCCTATAGTTGGTCACCTCAAATTTGAGGAGTACTATTACTTTTGGAAAAGTATGTAACTATGAGTTACTGCACTGAGTGTCCTCCATGCATTATTGCATCTAGTTCTCATAGCAAACTTGTTCATTCAATTCTTATTCATTCATTCAGCGAATATTTTTGAGGGTCTACTATATGCCAGGCACTGTTTTAGGCACTGAGGATTCTCCAGTGAACAAGACCAACCAAGTCCCACCCTCTCGTAGATCTTACATCACAGTAGATAATAGTAGTGGTGGCAGACAATAAACAAATTATATATTAATATAATGCTGGGTAGAATAAATGCCATTGAAACAATGAAAAAAAATTGGAGCGAGGAGGAAGAATATTGCTGGGGGGAAGTAGTGGGGAGCATGTTATTTTAGATAAAGTTGAAAGGGAAGGTCTCTGAATAGCTGACACTTCAGCAGAAACTTGAAAGACTTGATGAGGGAGCAAGTCATCTAGAGATCGGGAAAACTATTCTGGAAAGTAGGGAAAGCAAGTGCAAAGGCCCTGAGGCAGACCCAGGCTTGGTCAAGGAACACAGGTTAGTGTGGCTGCAGTGAGTGGGAGGAGAGAGAAGGGGGAAGTTGGGTTTTCTTTTATTGTGTAGGAAGTCGTTGAAGAGTTTGAGCAGGAGATACACATAGCCAAATAGTCTGCCCATTTCTGGGTAAAAAAACTGAGACTTATAGGATTTAGGTGAATTTACCAAAGTAGCTGGGGAGTAATGCATCAAGATTTGCCCAGGTAGATTGACTCCAGACTGTATGCTCTGCCCCACCAGGCTGGAGCTATAACTGTTCCCAAAGACGCCTTGCTGGCTGTCATTGCTTTACAGAAATGTCCTACGCGATGCATGTTCCTGTCACTAGCCTTGCTTCGTGGCTCTCCATAAGCCAGTCTTGCCAAGTGTCCTGTCTGCAGTCCCTGAGGCCTCTTGGTCTTCCCCTTAGGCATGATGCACTCCCCAGGATTCGACGGGAACAGCAGCCTCAGCCTGCAGATGCTGATGAACGCGGACAGCCTGTACACGGCCGCGCACTGCGCTCTGCTGCTCAACCTGAAGCTGTCCCATGGCGACTACTACCGCAAGCGGCCGGCCCTGGCCCCGGGCACGATGGTGAGTGTGGCTCTCCACCCAGACCCTCCCGGGACAAGAGGGGGCCTCTGCTGGAAAGCCGAGCGTCAGTGCCCCGCGAGGGATGGCGCTGTGGGGGTGGAAAGAGACGTGATGGAACCTGTACAGCGCGGTGAGCCCAGCACACTCACCACCTTGCTCCGGAGGGTGCAGGGCCCCAAGTGCAGGGCCTGGAAACGGCTGCCTGCCAATGGCCCAGGAATTTCAGCTGGGCCACACACACACACATAAGACACATTCCAGAACACACGATCAGCAGGTTACGTAGCAGCGGAAGACGTGCAGGGAATGGTCCCCTTGGCTGATAATGAAGGTGTCTTTTACAAACACTTTTCATTGTCTTCCAAAATGTACCCAGACCTCCTCGAGACCCAGAGATAAGCTTACTCATTGTCAATAACAAAGCACCTCCTGTAAGGTATGGGGTCGGACGGACGGTGCTTATCCTGTGGCCGGCTCCCCTGCCCGAGCTCAGTTTGTGAGCCTAATCCATGGAGCTGCTCTAATCCATGGAGCTGCTCTAATCCATGGGGCTGCTCTGATCCATGGAGCTGCTCTGATCCATGGGGCTGCTCTGATTCCATGGGGCTGCTCTGATCCATGGAGCTGCTCTGATCCATGGAGCTGCTCTGATCCATGGAGCTGCTCTGATCCATGGGGCTGCTCTGATCCATGGGGCTGCTCTGATTCCATGGAGCTGCTCTAATCCATGGGGCTGCTCTGATCCATGGAGCTGCTCTGATCCATGGAGCTGCTCTGATCCATGGAGCTGCTCTGATCCATGGAGCTGCATCAAGGGTGTCAGCAGTTGTTCATCTGCTTGATAACATGTAGATTCCCAAGGGTCAGTGGTGGCTTCATGAGTATAAGTATCTCTTGAAACACCCATGTATTTTCAGGGAGTGCATTTCACCTCTGCTGCTGCTGTTGGGCAGTGAGGAGGGGCCCTATTCAGTATTTCTTGCAGTTTGTAATCCTTCCACACATCAAGAAGTAAAACATATACAATGTGGTATCCCTAATCCTTCAGCAGTGTTTCTCCAAAAGATATAAAGGAAAAGAACTTCATGAAGTTTGGGGCTTCTCCATCTCAGTTCCCTCCTACCCTCAGTCAGCAGCGAGGTTTTATTTTTTCTACAAGTGCTGACTCGGGGGAGTAAAGTGGCAGCGGAGGAGTGGAGGAGCCTGTGTGCTTGCAGGGGTCAGATTTGGTCACCTTCTCCTGCGATCCTCTCTGCAGAAAGAGTTCATGAAGCAGGTGCAGACCAGCGGGGTGCTGATGGTCTTCTCCCAGGCCTGGATTGAGGAGCTCTACCATCAGGTGCTCGACAGAAACATGCTGGGAGAGGCTGGCTACTGGGGCAGCCCTGAGGACAACAGCCTCCCGCTCATCACCATGCTGACCGGTCAGTGGCTCCTGACGCGGCTCCGTGCCGCTCGGTGGGGTGGGAGTGCTCACTCTTCAGTTCCCCTTTCAGAGATGCAATGGTGTTTAATTCAAGCAGTCTTCCCCGGCAGTTGGTGACAATTTCAGAGAAATGTCATGAATTCACCTCACAAGAGTTTTCTGAACTTTTTCCGTGTGGGACTCTGCGCAGCTCACTGTGCCCCATTAGATTAGGACTTACTTAGGCCCTGTATCTGTTGGTGGCAAACTATAGGCCTCTTCTGGGATATGAAGTACTTTCTGGGCACAACACCCAGAGTTATTCCTGGAAATTCTCATGTATTAATAGGTAACTATTATCTATCCTACTCTATATCACTCAGTACTCTTGGAAATTTGCCAGTAATGTAAAATGATTGATTTTAAACTTGGCTTCATTCCCATTTCTTGCCCATACCAGAGGTTCTCCCTTCCCTTCCCAGCTGTACCAGAAATTAAAAATAATGTCAAGTAGTTGTCCAGCATCTGTGTCTTCAGTGTGCAGAGTTTTAAAAATCCTACTTGACTATTAAAAATTTCACATGAGAGCACAGAGAGCATCGTGGGGTGTGGTCATGAAGCAAATTTTTGGCAAAAGCAGCCATTCATGGCTTTGCATCGCTTAACCATGATGTCAGGTAAAGATCAGGGAGTGCTCAAAAGTTTGGTCATCAGTAGCCTTACTAAGTGAGCTCTGCAGGCTTGTCCTCCATTTGATCTGAGCTCCCAGGCTGGTTTCTGATCTGAGCGATGCCATCATGGCTTCAGCTCACAGGTTATGTGGAGTATGGCCCTGTGTCGACACCTTCCCTGCCCTCTGTGTAGTGCCACACGTCCTCACACAGCTCAGGGTGGCTCTGCCCCAGGCAAGGCACACTGACAGGAAGGAGCAGGACTGGGGAGGGGCAGCAGGGTCCAGCTAGGAGGCAGGATCTGTTGTCCAAAGGGGATGTTGCGTTGCCTGTGGTTGGTATTGGAGGCTCTTACAAAGTTGGCAGAATGGGCTACTGGCAGGTGACATCCAACAATGAGGAATTTGGGGGCCAGTTAGGAATCAGGCAGGAAATCAAGGCGTAGAGTGAGGTCTCTCCACAGCAAGCCACATCCTGGTCATTGTCTGGTATTTGGGACTTTGATTCCAGAACTAGGAAGGAATTTGGGGGAAGCAACGCTGGGTCTTAAGTGTTGGGGATCAGGATCACTGGACAAGTGACCAGTTTATATTTTATTAATCACGGTAACATCTGTATCCATTTGAAAAATACAAATTCTCTCATGTGTGAGACCTTCATTCTACCTATAACAGTCCTTGGATTCCTTCTGTCTTCATAAACTCTCTTCAGTAGGGATTCATGGTACTGCTCAGAGCTTAGAAGGGCCTTGGAATTTGGGTGGGGATCTTAAATCTGCCAGGTTTAATTTTAAAATACCATAGTTTGTGCCAAACTTAATCTTTTACCTGAAGCTTAATAAAAGGAGTCATTCGGCAGATATAAAAATGTACAAATAACAAGCTCTTATAGTCGCCATATTCATCAGTCATCACTGTTAGCCAGCCAGCCCTTTTCTAATAGAGCTGGAAGCTCAATTGCTACGTCCATGGGTAAGTCATCTAACTTTAGATTAATGATAGTAAATGGACTTCTCATAAGAATTAGACAAAATTAGGCTCTATGATTCTCTGTAGCAAATTCCAGTTATAAAGTGACAGGTGAATTTGAACAGCAACTAACCTAGAGCTTGGAAACTTCCATCTCATCTTTTTACCATGTGCAAGGAAACACTATAGCAGCCATCGGAGCATCAACACTGTCCCTGTCCTAACTGTGGCCAATCCTGATGTCACGTCAAAGTGTCCTCTAGAACTGTGGAATCTCAGTGATCAGATAAACTTTGCATTATTTGAATTCATCTGTCCTTTACCTACATTATAACTTTGATAAATGGCAGGTTTTGGTGCTCTTTTTCCTTGACAGATATCGATGGCTTGGAGAGCAGCGCAATTGGGGGCCAGCTGATGGCCTCAGCATCTACAGAGTCTCCTTTTGCCCAGAGCAGGAGGATCGATGACTCCACGGTGGCAGGTGAGGGTCTTGAGTGTACGAATATACATACATTGCATGTGGCACTAGCAGTTACATCATTATTGGCAGTTTCCGGTGCTGACATCTGTGAGTTAAGGTTTTGTCTTTGCAGAGCAAGTGCCTGGTGGAAGTTACTTAGCATCATCTGGCTGACGAAGGAACATTCATTATTTATCAGCACAAAGTGAAATCCATTAAATTATTTTTCCTGTAGTAGAACTGCACACCACTCAGTATTGCTGTTTTGATGGTTGAAGAATCCCATGCCATCATTGATGGCCAGGTGTGTTTTTTCCTCTGGAAAGTGACCCATGCCCCATTGCATTCTAGGTGTGGCGTTTGCCCGCTATATTCTGGTTGGCTGCTGGAAGAACTTGATCGATACTCTGTCAACCCCCCTGACCGGCCGCATGGCGGGGAGCTCCAAAGGGCTGGCCTTCATTCTGGGAGCTGAGGGCATCAAAGAGCAGAACCAAAAAGAACGAGATGCCATCTGCATGAGCCTGGATGGGCTGCGGAAAGCGGCGCGGCTGAGCTGTGCCCTAGGTACCGGCAGAAGTACAGTCTCTGACCCGGGGCCTTGGGGGGGTCCCTGGGGAACACACTGGGAGCGGCCCTAGTGGGAAACAAGTCTTTTAGGAGAGTTCTGCCAGCTGAGTGGTTAGAGAATAGACTCGGTTAAGGGGTGACTCATTTGTTTCCTCTAAAGGAGTCGCGGCCAACTGTGCCTCGGCCCTTGCCCAGATGGCAGCGGCCTCCTGTGTCCAGGAAGAGAAAGAAGACAAGGAAGCCCAGGAACCCGGCGACGCCATAGCGCAAGGTGAGGGCCGAAGGGCCTAATCCACCGGTGGTGTATGTGCAGTGTGCACACACGGGCACGGCCAAGAGCAGACACTTGTGCCCGTTCCATGTGAGATGCACGGCGTAGGTTTTCCACTGATCGTGGGATCCCGCTGGGTCATAGGCTTGGGTCTGTTTGCATGGATGGTCCAACAGATTGCTGCAGAGACCCCTCTGGACCAGAGACACACTGGCCGCTGGCCACCAGGAAGGTTCACTTGGCTGCTCACAGGCTTTGTGTGGGACACCAGGGTCCAGCGGCTGGGCTAGTCACACCCCTGTCGTCACCTGGCCACCAGCTTTGGCACTTCCCAGAGTGCACATCTGAGGGTGTTGCAGGTTGCAGCGGGGAAGGCCGAATGGCCAGGTTTTTGAAGGGGGAAATCAAACAGATGGAGGAAATCCCTGAGAGGAGGCGCAGGAAGACTTTGCTCTTGTCAGAGAAAAACTTGAGCTTTGTGAGCTCAGGAAAGAGTTGATTTTTACTTGTTAAAATCAGTCAGTGAAGCGGGTGCTGATGTAAGTATACGGGAAGAGAATGGCCTTCCTGATGAGGGTGAACGGGAGCAGCAAACAGAAGGGAAAGTGGGAAGCTTGGCCCAATTTATACTCATGCTGTGTATCAGGTATGTACAGTAGCTAGCAATAGGAACATTGGGCACATTTTTAAAAGCTGAGAAAAACAGGCCAGGGCACTTTTCCTCAAACTGGAAAGATATAGAGACCCACGTGGAAGCAAAGCAGGGCTCGCAGATCCCAGTGTTAACCGAAAAAAGGGCATCACAATTTTACTTAATATGTACAACCACAAATTATGTAAAAATCCTTACATTTAAAGCTTTTAAAACTATAAAACCAAAACTAATCTTCAAATTATATACAAATAAAAAATAAAATCAATATCACACCCATGTGACAAATGATGCTTTGCTAAAAACCAGTTTGCCCCTTACAGCAGGAGTACTGTTCACCTTCCTCTAAAGTGAGTGTGCTGTTAGGGTTAGAACTGGTGCTGTATTTCTGGGCTCTGGCCCATCACTCATTGCCACACCAGGCCTGTCTTCTAATGACTTGACACCTTTCTTCATGGAGGACGTCGTTGTCTGGCCTCGCCTTGGCATTTTGCATAATTGACATCTTAAGTCACCTTCTGCATCCTTTCTCATTAGTGTTCTACAATAAAAAATTATTATTTGAAGGTCACAATATAAATGTAAACTGGGGCAGTGAAATGATATGGTAATTTTCAGTTATAAAGCAGTCAATGTGGCATTCAGAGTGAAATACAGATGTTGTTTTAGGCAACCATCATCATGAATATGTAACCTTAAATCTCAGAACATGTAGAACATCAGGAATTCTTCCATGTTATCAATTTGAGTATACAGGGGCAGGGGAAGGATCTGGGCACAAGTGGCTTTACTGGGGCCAGCACCTGAAGCCCATCCACCCTGCTCTGCCTGACCCAGCACCAAGGGGTGGGCCTGGGGGAACTGTACCCACCAACTCAGGTTCCATCCAACTTCTGAAGCCACAGAGCTGGAGTCTCCAATGTCTGTGGGGCCCAAGGGCTGGGGAGTTTGCATGATGAACCACAGGGACCTGCCATTGAGACACTTGCTGCCAGTGATGCCTACTGTTTCCCTTTGCCCTTGCATGATAGCACACTCTTTCCTTTCCATCCTTTCTCCCTTTCCGTCTCCCTCACTTGGAATGCTATTTTAATGAATGTCTTTCTGGCACAGTGAAACTAAAAGTGGAGCAGAAACTGGAGCAGATCGGGAAGCTGCAGGGGGTGTCGCTGCACACAGCCCACGTCCTGTGCATGGACGCCATCCTCAGTGTAGGCCTGGAGATGGGGAGCCACAACCCGGACTGCTGGCCACACGTGTTCAGGTGCATGGCGGGATCCCCACCCCGCACGGCACCCACCCTGCCAGGGAGCCTGGGGGTGATGGAAGGGGTAGACTCCAGGGTCTGCGGCACGTAAACAAATGATGATAACTCACAGAGTTTGGATAAACCCCAAGTGAGAGATTAAAAAGAGAAGAGGGACTAGGGGCCCAACCGAATGTACAACTTAGAGAAGAACAGAGCGACGGAGTTTGATTTAGGGAATTCTGAATAGATTATTGACATAGTCTGTGAGAGGCAGATGTGTTATACAAAGGAAGAAAAAACACTTTCTTAAATAGTGGATGATAAACCATGTAAGTTAAGTGAATAGTATTCAGATCTAAAAGCTGGTCATGTGTCAGCAATATAACAGTGCTGCATATTTATTAATTTCCTCTTCATTTAAAGAAGGATTTTGGATATCCACATGGATACACAGAGTGCAAGAGGGGAGAGAGGAAGAGAGGTGGCTATCCCCAGAGGAAAGAAGAAATTGAGGAGCACTATAAAACTAGCTGAATTTGCTTTCTGTCTCACTGTGGGGTTTGCGGAGCTGGTCCAGTTGAGCTGCAACTTTTACCAGCTGTTTGTGTGTGACTCTCTCTAGGGTGTGTGAGTACGTGGGCACCCTGGAGCATACCCACTTCAGCGATGGCACCTCTCAGCCCCCACTGGCCATCAGCCAGACCCAGAAGGCACCCGGAGGCCCTGGACTCCTTGGGGACCCGGAATGTGAGGGCTCACCCCCGGAGCAGAGCCCGGAGCAGGAGAGCTCCCTGAGCGCGGCCCCCGTCATCCAGCCCCTCTCCATCCAAGAACTCATCAGGGAAGGCAGCCGAGGCCGGGCCTCCACCTTCCGAGGGGGCAGCCTCATGACCGGGAGCAGCGCTGCCAAGGCCGTGCTCACGCTGTCCACGCAGGCCGACAGGTGTGTGCGCCCCTCACGCACCCAGAAAGACTCCGCACCACGGAGCACCCACCACCGGCGGGCAACACCACACCCATCTCTCTGGTCTCAGAATTACTCCTGGGATAACTTGATTAGTTCTCCAGTCATGTAAACCTCTTAACTTTTTTCAAAGAGAATTTCTGTCTCCTGCCACGCCCCACACTTAGGATGAACCTCCTCCCAAACTCCTCCTAGAAGTCTGTGCCTGGCTGGGTGGAAAACAAAGGAACCTGGCAAGGTCCCTTATGTTAAGGAGTGTTCGTTATTCCAGGAGATACTGGAGCTTCCACGGGCTGTGTGAGTTGGAGGGAATGAGGACAGTCCCTGCCCTCAGGGCGCATACAGGATGGGATTTACTCTCCCTTTGTATTCTCAGAGCCATGCCCAGCCTTATATTCATCAGTTGTAGTCCATCAAAAGCCTGAATTCATTTTCTGGGTTTTTCTTTAATGTAGCTTATGAAATTGAAGCTAATTCTAAGGAGTCCCAGTCATTCCGTTTCTGGGAGCGATGCTTTGCTATCTTTCAACTTCTTGCCAGATTTTTTATGAGGACCTGCAATGGCTGAGCTACTCCTGGGATAAAAAATTTTTGTTTTTTTAAATATGGCCTGTGCCTTTCAGATTAAACTCTTGGAGGTAGAGCGTACTGTATACAGTCATAATCGATATAATAATCCCGTATGTTTATTTACAGTGTTTACACAACATTTCATTAATCACATCTAACAAAGTTACCGTAATCATTCTGCGATAAAGACTTTGCTGAACTATTTCCAAGTAACAAATCATTTGGTTTCATCCAGGCTCTTTGAAGATGCTACTGATAAGCTGAACCTCATGGCTTTGGGAGGTTTTCTTTACCAGCTGAAGAAAGCGTCGCAGTCCCAGCTTTTCCATTCTGTCACGGACACAGTTGATTACTCGCTGGCAATGCCAGGTAACTCTTTCCCCGAAGAAACTGTGCCACGAGGCTAGCAGGAAACAGCCCAGGCCTCTGACACCAACACCCTGCCCGAAGGCTCAGCTCCGCATTCCCTCCGCACGCGGTCGCCCTGGCTGATTTGTCCCCCAGTGTCCAGGCGTGATGCGTGTGTGCCTGGGCGAGGGGTGGGATTCTGCTTTGTGGATGGAAGTGCTGCTGCTGCCACTGGGGCGGGTATTACCACTAGAGCTGGGCTAGGTTCTGCCAGGTTTTGGGGCGGTGATGATAGAGAAATGATGTGGCTCCTCAGGGTGCCGATAGCTCTCCCGAGGGTGGGAACCCTTCTCCATATCGCAAACCACACCACTCGCCTCAGGTCAGGCAACTTGCAGAAGCTGCTACTGACTCCAAGGTGGACGGTGGGAGAGGCAAATGGAAGGGCCAACAGAAGCCTGGTGCCACTCCTAGGAAAACTGTCAGGGCACACCTTTTTAATGACCGGTCGGCGTCACTGTCTTCACACGTGAGGCCAGATAAAGGCCAGCTGTGGAAGAAGGAATAGAATTGTACTGAATCCTTCACTGGTCCCAAATGGTGGCAGCTGCTCATAAAGGCAGCCGTCCATCAACAGCTGGGTTGTGCCGGAGCAGTGAGCACCGGGTCCCGATGAGGTCAGGCGGAGGCGCGGGGCCCTGTGGCGAGTTGGACTGCACAACCCCTGAGGTCCCTTCCACTTTAGGAACCTGACTTTCTAAGTGTAATGTGTTTGGCCTTTTGACCCTTACTGCAGATTCTAAATGAGGACCACTGTCCTTTCCCCACTACTTTTGAATAAACTTTAGAACCTTAGCTGTATAAATCCAACCTTCCAGAACCATCGGACCTCCAGGGCATCTCTCAGCCCAGGGCAGCCTTCTGAGTCTAGTGCATTGGAGAAATCAGCAGACGCTGAGCTTACAAAAAGCAATGACCAGGGACAGGAAGAGGCAGCTGACCCAGGAGGAGGAAGCATTGGCTTTGAAGTCAGTCAGATGTGAGTCAGGATGCGGCCTTCACCATTTACCAGATGCATCGTCTTAGATAAGTCACTTCACCTTTCCAGCACCCAGTTTACTAATCTGTAAAGTGGCAGGAAGTACACTTCTTAAGGTTGGCTTTAAAAATTAAAATCGTTAAAAGACGCAAAGCACCAAGGCTGATGCGGAGCAAACATTCCATAAATGCCAGTGGTTATTATTACTGTCATTTTGAAGTTTATTTGATACAACAAGACTCATGAGAAGCATTTGGTTGGAAGAGCCTGATCATGGTCAGCGTTCTGTAGACAGGAAAGGGGAGGCAGCAGGCCATGAGCGAGAAGGGAAAGCAGACGACTAAGGTGATAGCAGCAAAGAAGTAATAAGAGATCAGAGTGGGCAAGGACGGCACTGAAGTGAAACACAGCAGGCTAGACAGCATGTTGTTGGGTGGCAAAAGGGCATGACTTGCTTGGCAAGGGCTTCGGAGGTGCCTCTAAGGATTGGCAAAGTGGATGGTGACCACGGAGGGTGACAACCCCAACAGTCATGATGATAGCTGGGAGTGTAGGTCAAGTAGTATGTGCCTGTGAAAAGCGCTTTATGAGTATTAGTACATTTAATCCTTAAGTAACTTTAAGAAATAGGCCCTATTATCCCCATTTTTACAATGAGAAACTGTGGATCAGAGATGTAAATCTCCTGTCCAATGTAATCCAGCTACTAAACTGTGAAGAGAGGATTCGAACCCAGGCAGCTTGACTCCCCAGCCCTCCTACTTAACCACAAGTCGTTCTGCTGCATCCACAAGCATTGTTCACATTGTCACGGCCGCCCTGGGAATGGAGCGGTGACCAGGGGAGGTGCGCCCGGGCCTTGCCGAGGGAGCCGCCTAAGACTCCCTTGAATCCAGCCCCTCTCCTCCCCCGGTTAGCACTCACCCCGTCATCCTGCTGGCCCAAGGACCGGTCTCTGATTTCCATCCTACCTCTGTGCTTGAGCAAGTCAAACTCTGAGTTCGCCCTTATGGCTTTTATGGTCTTCTCTTCCCGTAGGAGAAGTGAAATCCACCCAGGACCGGAAGAGTGCCCTCCACCTGTTCCGCCTGGGGGATGCCATGCTGAGGATCGTGCGCAGCAAGTCAAGGCCGCTGCTCCACGTGATGCGCTGCTGGAGCCTCGTGGCCCCGCACCTGGTGGAGGTGAGGGCCTGGGAAGGGAGAGGCTCGGGGAACCCCTCCGCGGAGCCCGCACAGGGGTCTGCAATCAGTGTGGGGACAGAGTGCTGTGGCCACAGCGCAATGAGAAGGTTCCTCTCACCCAGTCACAGCATCATAGTTCTGTCATTATTCCTCATGGCACCTGAAGAATCATCCCAAAGGGCAGCACTGCCTTGGTCTCAGGACCCTCCTCCTCTACAGTTTGGCTAGTGCCTCACACAGCCAGTTTCCATTCTTTACCGCCTGGTATCAACCTGAGTCTGAAGCTTTATTTATTTATTTATTATTATTTTTAAATATGTCTTTATTGATTTCAGAGAGAGAAAAGGAGAGAGAGAGAGAGAGATAGAAACATCAATGATGAGAGAGTCATTGATCAAGCCCGCAACCGGGCATGTGCCCTGACTGGGAATCGAACCCTGATCGTCTGGATCCTAGGTCGATGCTCAACCACTGAGCCACGCCCGGCCGGGCTGAAGCTTTGTTTTTATACAGGACTGTAACAATGCCTTTCGTTCCTGCCAGTCTCTTTTTTCTCATAGCTAACTATACTCTGAGCAGTACCTTCTAAGAAGGAGAACCATATGTCCTGGTTTTCCCAACAAAATTAATACTAGAACCTCCTTCCCTCTCCAAAGGAAAGCAGTTTGTATGATAATTTATATGCTAACTCTCCATCTTAGCATCTCAGTACATGATGCCTGGCTGCTTCTAAGTTGGCAGGAAAATTGTTGCCCTGTTTTGCAGTGATAACTATTCTTAATAGCTCTGTAGTGCTTATCTGGTAGAGATATGTCATATAGTGTTTTTGGGGAACTTAATTCAGTAACCTGAGAACATTCTGGTAAGGAAAGGGAGTAGAAAATAATACCTTAGTATGGAGAAACAGTATATCAGTTATCTATTACACTATAATAAACCATCCCAGAAACCTAGTGATTTAAAACAACCACCATTTATAACTCATGACTCCCTGGATCAAAAATTTGAGTTGTGCCCAGGCTGAGTTGTGCCCAGGTTGGCTCAGCGGTTGAGCATCGACCAGTGATGCAGATCATGGTTTGATTCCCCATCAGGGCACATGCCTGGGTTTCGGGCTCGATCCCCAGCAGGGGGCGTGCAGGAGGCAGCCAATCAATGACTCCCTCTCATCATTGATGTTTCTGTCTCTCTCCCTTCCTCTCTCTGAAATCAATAAAAATATATTTAATTTTTTTAAAAAAAGAAATTTGAGCTGGGCTCAGCTGGGCACTTCTTCCGGCTTGGCAGATCTCAGCTGGCCTCACATGTCACCTGTGGCCAGCTGGGTCATGATGGCCTTGACTGGGAAGGCTGGACAATGGGCTCTCTCCTCCTCCGGCAGACTAGCCTCAGCTCATTCTCATGGCATTTTTAGAATTCCAAAGGCAAGCAAGAGGGCAAACCCCAAATTATGACAAATTTTAATTCTCTACTTATATAATATTTGCTGTTCTCCAGAGAAAGCCACACATCCAAGCCCAGGGTCGGGGTGGGAGAAGACTACGAAAGGGCCTGGATACAAGAAGCTCTAGACCAATTAGAGCTATATTGGTGCAATTGGCCCACCTCACTGAGGGACAGATGACCCCTGATCTTCATATGTTTGGGGCACAGCTAAGAATGAGACCATGGGCCGCTTTGGTGTCTTTATAGTCAGCATGTCCCATATCATCCAAGAAAACCATCATGTTACATTTAAAAAAGAAGAAGAAATGACTAGATACTCTTATTTTCCTAGAAACATTCAAGTGAAATTGAAGTTGTGTCTGATCGGTTTGTTAGACCATTACGAATACAGTTTAGTGTGCTGGTCATGTATCCATATCCCTTGAAATGTTTGTTACTTGAACAGAATTGCTGCATCCACCTGCCTGCAACGAGGTGGGTTAGGAAAACCTTCAGAAACCAGATTCGTACTTGCCTGAAGGCCCTGACGGTGTTCTGTTCTCTCACGAATGTCGCAGGCTGCCTGCCATAAAGAAAGACATGTGTCTCAGAAGGCTGTTTCCTTCATCCATGACATACTGACCGAGGTCCTCACTGACTGGAGTGAGCCACCTCATTTCCACTTCAATGAAGCACTCTTCCGACCCTTTGAACGCATTATGCAGCTGGAGTTGTGTGACGAAGATGTCCAAGACCAGGTCAGTGTGTCACGGTCATCACCAACTGGGAGACAGGTGGCAAAGAGACAGACTGGAGACTTCATAGCTAGCATGACGATGGTAGTCTGGGAACATGGATCCTCTCTGGAAGGGGAAAATGTTAAAGGCTTAAAAAGAATTTTTTAGATGCTTTGACACTCTGGCAAGAAAGTAGAGAATACTAAGAAGCCCACAGCAAAGTAGCAGTGGGAGGCCAAGGAGGTAAGCAGAGCTCTAAGACTGGCTTTGCCGTGACAGAATTTGTCATCAGGTGAAACTGCGTCCTGCTATCACATTCCTGAGGCCAGAAGAACAGGAGATAAATTTCAATGCAAACCTTTAAGACTGGTGTTCATTCCGGCCAAGGTTGAATTAGAAATGAACCCAAGCAGCACCCTCCCTGAGGAGAGGGTCAGCCTGTTTCTAACACTGGCTCTTAGTAGAGAGAAAAAATAACTCTCCAGGATTGAAATGACAAGGTAGCCCTTCCTTGGGGTCAAAGCATGAAACTGCGCCACCTGGTGGTCGTAGAAACGACACGGGTACCGTACAGAGCAATCCCTTCAAACTCCAAGCAGACTTTTAAAAGATATTGGTAAGATGGTTCTCCAATTTATATGCATATTCAAGAGACCGAGCATAGAGAGAACAAATTTGAAAAAGAACAAATTTGGAGAATTTACTCTCCCTGATTTCAAAACTTCATTAATCAACACAGTGTGGTATTGGTATAAGGACAGACTTACAGATCAATGGAACTTAATAGGAGTACAGAAATAAATTCTCACATTTATGTTTAATTAATTTTTGACAAAGATGCCTCTGGAATTCAATAGAGGGAACATATGCAATAAAAATGACCTGCACTTGAACCTCTCAACATATACAAAAAATAACTCAATATGGTTCATAGGCTTAAATGTAAGAACAAAAACTACAAATATTTCTAGGAGAAAGTATAGGAGAGGATCTTTGAGACCTTGGATTAGGCCAAGATTTTTTAGAAATGACACCAGCATGATCCATAAAAAGAAAATTTGGCAGTGCTCACTCCAGCAATCACATATGAAAACTGGAACAACATGGAGAAGGCTAGCATGGCCCCTGCTCAAGGGTGACATGCAAATTCATGGAACACGCAAGTCCATATTTGAGCAGTTCCTGAGCAGCCTGTCGCCCTTTGCTGATTAACACAAAAACACATACCAAAAATTTTTTTGATGAATTGGGCTTCATTAAAATTTAAAACTTTTGCTCTCCTAACACCATTAAAAAATAAAGACAAGCCTGAGGCTACGAAAAAAATATTTGCAAATTATAGATCTTGGAAAGTTTGAATCTAGAATCCATAAAGAACTCTAAAAATAATAAAAAGACAATAATGAGAAGACAAAACCCCAATCTAAAAAACAGCAAAATATTTACAAATGGCTAATAATAAGCTTGCGAAAAGTTGCTCAGCAACATTAGTCATTAGTAAAATGCCAATTAATGCAACATGACTGCTTATTTAGACGATCTTTGCGGGAGTTTGTCCAGATTGTTTTTTTCTCTTTAGTGAAAATTAACCTGGAAATAGGGAACAGAGAAATACATCACCCTTCCCAGAAATTCTCCTGCTTCTAGTAAGAAAAGGGTTTTCATTGCCACCTCCTTTGCCTCTGTCAGGTCGTCACATCCATTGGTGAGCTGGTTGAAGTGTGTTCCACCCAAATCCAGTCGGGCTGGAGGCCCTTGTTCAGCGCCCTGGAAACGGTGCACAGCGGGAGCAAGTCCGAGGTGAAAGAGTACCTCGTTGGCGATTACTCCATGGGTAAGACTGTGTTGGTGTTATATCCTGAAACTTTACGGAATTCCTTTTATTACTTCTGACAATGTTTGTTAGAGTCTTTTAAAATTTTCTGTATATAAGACCATGACATCTGCACACAGAGAATCTTACCTCTTCCAATATTGGTACCCTTTATTTTTTTTTCTTGCCTAATTGCTCTTTAGAGGACTTGAATAGGAATGGTGATTGTGGGAAGGATGTGTGGTCGATTTTTGCTCTAGAGCATTAGTTCTTTATGCCAAGTTTCGTGCTATCAAAGGAAATTGAACTATGGGGACGCCTGACATGCAGACCTGCTTTATCAGCAGGAAATAAGCTGGTGTTGCAGGGACATAGATGGGTTCTGAGTTCCGCCAGCAGGTGAGGGCCCTGAGCATTGTCAGGCCCTGCTCTTGCTGACAGATTGGACGAAAGGCTAAGAGACTTCTGTTGTTTTCACTTTTACATGTCTGTATTGAGCTAATGCCTAAAGCCAAAACAAAAAATATTATCCTCTTGCTAGAGAGAAGCAGAAAACTATCATAACACAGGGGAATCCAAATTCAGGAAATTGGGTCTGGCTGGAAATGGATGGGTACCCATAAAGCATGCCCAGCAACCAGGGGTGTTGTGTCAGAGGTCTCAAGACACCCCCACATTCAGAGACCCACCAGAAGGACTCAGGACTCAGCATATAATCATGCTAAGTTTTATTACATGACCCAGATTTATTATTACATTGCTCACAGCTAAGAAGTATTATGGTGAATAGTAAGGACAAGCTAGATTATGAGGGGGAAAGACAGACAGAATCTGGGGGAATACCTGTTCAGGCTTCCTTGTGCTCTCACTCCCCACGATGGGTCCCACGGAGCACACTTTTTCCCCTACAGTGAAAAATGCGGCAATATGAGTATAATGTTTTGGCCCAGGAAAGCGCATTGGAGACCTAGCTGAGGGTGGTCCCAGAGGTCCCTTCCTCCTAGTAGATACCAAAATCCCAGACTTCCCGAAGAAAAGCGGGTGTTCAGAATAAACCACATTGTTTGCACAGTTTAGGTTCAGAAAACTACCCTTAACCATTAACTGTTGCCCAGAATTATTCTGAGAGCCAAGTTCCCAGTCTCCAGCCAAGGGCCAGGTTTACAAGCAGGCCTTGAAGGACGGCAGTCTCAGGCCTTCTGTGTTAACTGTTTCCTGCACAGATATAAATAAATTAGTATATGCCATCAGGGATTTGTCTACACCTTTCCTTCCCTATAATTATGGTGCAGAAGAATTCCAGAGGCCCACGGTTCACTGTCCTATAGACACACATTCCCTCAGCCCTGCTTTGAGCCAGCTTTGCCCCCACCTCTCCACTGGGCTCTCTTTGTAGCCCTCCTGCAGCTACAAAGCTAAGAAGCACAGCATTGGAGCAGGCCGGCTGTCCATTCACTGGCTTTTCTTCAGATTTTTCCAAGGCCCTGTGGAAGGAGCTGGGAGTATGGGCAACCTGAAGGATAGCGACTTAACTTCCTTAAAATCCTATAATCTCCCTCCCTCAGGAAAAGGCCAAGCTCCAGTGTTCGATGTATTTGAAGCTTTTCTCAATACCGACAACATCCAGGTCTTTGCTAATGCAGCCACTAGCTACATCATGTGCCTTATGAAGTTTGTCAAAGGACTGGGTAAGTGGAGTCCTCCTTTCATGCCTGTCACAGCTGGGGACCCTTTCCTGGGTGGCTCTGTGTGGAGGGCCCTGGAGACAGGCCCACTGACTGCCTGGAGCAAGCAGGCATTCCGGGACGGGGGCAGATGGTGCATACGCAGAAGCAGAGAGCTTACTGTAAAAGCAGCGGCGGGTTTTGTCCAGGGTTGATACTTCTCATTGTGTTCATGGAATAATCTTGTAATGAAGCATGTTTTCTACTATTTCACAGACCTAGATTTTATTGAAGAAGCATTATTTTGGGTTTTCTGTTGTTCAGTAAAGAGTGGGGTGCCTGCTACATGGGCACAGACATAGTATGGGATGTAAAGAGGAATAAAACATGCTTCCCGCCCAGGAGAGGCTCGCAGCCTGTTCTGGGAAACAGACACATGCATCAATAATTACAGTTTGGTAAGCTGAATGCTTTCATAGAGGCTAGTAAAGAAAAAAAGCCATTGATTTGAAATGAACAGGCAGCTGAGAGGAGGAGCTGGGGATGGCTACCAAGTTTTTTACAAGGATTGGTGTGACCCAGAACTGGGATATCCACAAGGAGAGCAGGTCTGGTGTGGAGGACAGTTTCAGTGACACATTTGTGTGGAGATGCTTCTCAACATGTTAGAAATTTGAGATTTTATCTGAGGGAGTTGAGCCCTGAAAATAGAGATGCAGAATTATCAGTGTTCACATGGAGAATATTTAAAACAGGGAGGCCCTATTTTTTCTGTGAATTAGAAGGTGGAATTATTTTTATTGGGCTGGGGGTACTGGAAATGTCTGAGCCACGAGCATAGCCATGCTGGCTGAGGACTGCCCCTGGCTCCAGGGGGCGCTATTTGCATAGACTTCGACGTGTACCACAGCAGCCTCAGTAAAAAAAAACACTTTTAAATACTCACTGTGACCACCAAGCTAGGAAATGAACTTATTTTTAATTCCCGCTTGGTTATTTCAACATGAATTTGACCTGATCTGTGTTTTTATACTGGAAGGTGTGTTCATCTAAACCAGGAGTTTGCAAACTATAGCCCACAAGCCCAATCCAACCACTGATAGTTTTTATAAATACGGTTTTATAGGAACACAGCCGCGGTCATTTGTCTGTGGCTGTTTTCGTGCAGCAGGGGCAGGGGTGAGAAATTGGAGCAAAAGCAGTATTTTCTGTCAGGCCCTGTACAAAAGGCGTTCGCCAGGCTCTATCTAAAACATAAGAAATGTTTATCTTTCCTTTTCTAAGAAGAAAATGCCTCTTTGTGTGCTTCTGAATTTTAACTAATGCCTAGTAATTATGTCTGTTTACCCACAGGGGATGGTGCTAGTTGCTACGATTATAGACAATTAGAAACAATTACAGTTCTGTGCAATGATTTTATTAAAAGTCAAGAAATGGGTTCATTCCATGAGAACAAAACTGATCATTCTCAACGACTGTCTACCTATGGAAAATCCAGAAGCCCTCTACAGATCTATTAAAAAAAAAGAAAAGAAAAGAAAGATAGAATTTCATTTCAGTTCAATTACATAGCCTCCAACCCCAAACCCCAGCTGTTCAGCATCTTCCCAGAGCCTTCATTTATCATCACTATTTAGTGCTGAGCACCGGCAGCGAAATGAGGTCCTGTTCCAAATGGAGAGAGGCCTGGTGCTTCATGCCGCACAGCGCATGGCTGATCTCTGGGATCATCCTTGTGAAGGCTTCGGAAGCCGCACTGTCGACAGCAGGGCCCAGGGAGGTGAGCTAGGAGCCCAGGTACAAGAGAACAGTGTTCAGCCACTGCCAGCTCTGTGGCAGAATAGAGAAAGGGCTCATTGTTAGCAAAACAGGGAGTTACCAAACAAAATAATCTCAACCAAATAAGATGTGCAGCGCGATCCCAGCTGTATTTAACGTGTACACATGCATGCAGGGAACAGGATTATTTTTTTTCAGGGTTGTACAAGTTGGAGTAATTCTTTTCTTTTTTTCTCTGCTGCAGCAGACATTGGGTGAGCTAATGCCGTGTGAGTAAACAGGTCTCTGTTGTGAGGGCGTAAACAAGAATAACTGTGTCTGTCTCCCCGCGCTGTCCCCAGGGGAGGTGGACTGTAAGGAGATTGGAGACTGTGTCCCGGGACCAGGAGCCACGGCCCCAGATCTGTGCCTGCCTGCCCTGGATTACCTCAGGCGCTGCTCTCAGGTACCAAGCCCCAGGCCCTGAAACCTGATTCCGGAGATGCTTGCAAGTCACATGTGGGTGTCTTTTGCTGAGGCCCGAGAGAGAAACTGTCTGCTGTCTCTGAGGCAATTGGGACTCAGATTTGGAGTATTAATTGTTGTCCCCAACCTGTCCACGAAGGAGAGGGAGGAAGTAATAAGTGTGCTAGAACACACAGGATCCTGAGGTCTCTGGAACTTCTTATTTTTTCTCAGATGAGCTACAGAATCTGTATTTGTGTCAGGCTGTCGAGAGTGGAGTCATGAGGTTGTGGGAGATCTTCCTGATAAACCAAAATGCGGACTGGGGGCGGGTGCAACCAGTGAAGAGAGACATAGGAAAAGTAAGAGGGATGTATTCAATCAAGAGCTAGTAGAGAAATCCAATAAAACATCGCCTGTCAGTGTGGACAGTTACCTTAATTATGCTCACTTCAATAATGCTCTGTCCTTCCCCATGTCACATGCCTGTGGTGGAACAAGATGATACTCCGTCCTTGAAGCCCTGTCTCCTCTAGGCATCAGTGACACCCTCTCCCAGATAGGCTTTCTCCTTCCTTCTCAGGTTGTGTCCATAAGGCCCCACGTGACATGACACCAACTCCACTTATTACACCCAGGGCCATCACTGTTCTCTCTGCTTGGAATTTTCCTCCTCAGATCTCTGTCTGAGACCCTCATCTTCCAAATCTCACCTGAAACATCACCTGTCAGAGAGACCAGGGCTTTGGTATCCACCTGCTCCCTGCCAACGTTCCCCATGCACCTGGGTCACTCTCTGTAGTACCATGGGTCTAATTTTCTCTGTAACATTTACGTCAGAAATGTTATTTATTAGGTGTGAAAGGATTCTTGTCTGTGAGACCCACAGGACAAGAATCTTGTCCATCTCGTGCACAGCTGTTTCCCTGGTATCTAGAACAGTCTGGGCACATAAGGGTGAAGATATAAGGGTCTGTGGGAGTTTGTTTTAGTAACAGGGATCCCTGGGGGACTGGGCTCAGTGGAGAGAGGGTAATAAAGAGCCCAGGGCAGTCTGTCAGCTCTGATTCTCATACTCCCCTCGATGACCTTACTCACAGATTCCTCATTGCCCCATTGCCCCCTGTGTCTTTGATGTGGGGTCATGTGAGGGGAAATCAAGGCTGGTATCCGATTGGCCTACAAGACTCTCTTCTCAATGATCCCCAGAGAACACCTTTTCCCATAGGCAAAAATCCTTGTCATGTGTCACAGTTCCCTTAGTAGGTTTATAAAAATCTATAAAACTCATAGTCAGTTGAGATGCTGAAAACGTATTCATTGTGTTTTTCCCCCTCTACTTATTGGTTGCCACTAGATGCTGTTTCATCTGCTTCCTGAGATAAATGCCTCTTGCGAGCCAGCTTAGGAAGTCAAATCACAACCAACCAGCTTTAAACCTTCCATACAGTGGCAGCCTTTCTGGCTTTCTCTCCCCTTTCTATTACTCGTATATAATTTTGTTGTTTTAGAACACCCAGAGTGTAGCTTTTTTCAATATATAACTGAAATTTGGTATTTTTTACTTAGTTATTGGCCAAAATCTACAAAATGCCCATGAAGCCAATATTCCTTAGTGGGCGACTTGCTAGCTTGCCTCGAAGACTTCAGGAGCAGTCAGCGAGCAGTGAGGATGGAATTGAGTCGGTCCTGTCTGATTTTGATGATGACACTGGTAAGTTAATCAATTAGACTAAACCAGGTTATTGGCCGTGTACATAGTCTCAAAAGCTTAAGCCATGAATTAAGTAGCTTATAGATCATGAATGATCATCTTTTTATGTTGTTATTGTTTATGATTCTAACAGAACAGGTCTACCCAGTGTTTCCATGGGTGCTCCTAAAACATTTTACAATCGACGCCTCCATCTAAAACCAGTGCTGATTTGCAGATTCTGCTAAATATAATTTCTAGCTCTGATTCTCTTGAATTTAGCAAATTGGAATGTGGCTGCATTGGTGCATTGGTACTTAAATTGGCTGATAATTGCCTTTAATTCCTTCTAGGAAACACGATCATTATATAATTACTTCCTGCAGGACTATTTGGTTAGAGACTAGAGAAATTAAGCCATTACTGAAGAGAGAATCTATTTGTGACTGGAGAAGCAAAAGACTCATTAAGAGAATAATTTTAAAGAATGTGTTTCAAATTAGTTCCATGTAATTTCCTGTGCATTGGAGTTCAGTCTGGTAACTTTGGCGAGTTTTCAGACTGGTTAACTTGTGCTCCTACTTGATGACCCTGTCCTGTTTCTGGATGTAGAAATGGAAATTATGTCCTTATAGGGGTCTGATATCTGGGAATGGGTTATTTCAAACTCTCGCAAAAGGCTTTTTAGGGGAAGCTTCTTAAATTTGCTTTTGTGTTTGTTTTACATTTTTCTCCCATTTTATTTTTTTATTACAAAATCATTTATGGGGGTGGTCAGAAGATTTACAGTTTTCTATAGAGATTATAAACAGTAAAACCTCACTAGTTTAAGACTAGTTATGAGAAAGAGCTATAGGAATACCTAATGTAGAAGACAATTAAAATACTGGAAATTGGCTAGATGGTTGCCTAATAGAGGTTTCATTTGAATGGTTAGATAAGCATAATTTTTGCTTAGCAATGTAAACCTCCAACCCAGACAATTATAAGCAAGAAATTTGAGTGGTTTTTTCCTTTTGACTTTGTCAAAAGATGTAAATCATAATCTGTCCATTTATAGGCCTTGAGGCTGCCTTAATAGGGGACACCCATAGAGGACATGGCAGTTTACAGACCTCTTTTACACATTTTATCTTGCAATGATTCTGTATTATGTTTAACCAAATTCCACAGAGGTCTTACTTTTGCTTTCCAGGTCTGATAGAAGTCTGGATCATCCTGCTGGAGCAGCTAACAGCAGCTGTGTCCAACTGTCCACGGCAGCACCAACCACCAACCTTGGATTTACTCTTCGAGCTGTTGAGAGATGTTACCAAAACACCTGGTAAATATTTCTATCTCTATCATTTGGGGGCAGGTGTTATACATATAAGTTTTATCAGGAAGGTTTTTCTGTAAGTGCCTACCTGTTTTACTGCTGTAACCCTAGACAGCATAATAGGTGCTCAATAAATATTTGTCTTATGGCAATGATGTTTAAGATATGTTCTATGATTGTTTACCACCGATCCATTTAGAAGTAATGGGTGATGGTCGGTTGTCTGAATGTGTTGGAGCCCCACAATAATCAGGCTGTGGTATCAACGTCCCCGTGAGCCGGCTGGCTTTACTCTGTTCCATAAATCCAGCCTTCCTCTTTGGCCGGGTCTCCCATGCTCTTAGCCCCAGAGCTGTCAATAGGGTTCACAGTGTCTACCACTGACATAAACAAACCGCTCAGACATACATGCAGGATTAAGACAGCAGCAACTTGATTACATAAAGGTCACAGGTGATTAGATTTGTGAAATGACATCTAGTGATCACCTAGCACCCTGATAGTACAGGAAAAGAATGTCCCTTAGAAATTCCTTTCTCGTTCTCAATTCAGGTTCATGCGCACACTTACCCAAAGCTTCTCAATATTAAAGAAATTTATATAGAAATGTTAGTTTCCACTAACCATCAGAACCACAAATGAAACCACTAGTTTATAGTAATAAGAGGGTTTTTGTATTCAATATAAACTGATGAAGACCTGACAATTGATACTGTTTTAAAATCTATTGCAAAGTTTATATCAGAATTTTTTTCAGGAAAATCATCGTAGCTACTCTCGCATGTTAAAAAGTTAAATGCAAAGAATAAGCAGGTATTTTATAGAATGAATTATATGCCACTTTTTCTAAATCTGTTTTATTGGTCAATACCATTTTCTGCTTTCACATTGAGTGCTACTAAGTGTGTGAAGAGAATTTAACCCACTAATTCTACTCCTAGAAATCTGTCATCAAAGGAAATTAATGGTAATGAAGACAAAAATGTATGTATAATGATGTATGCTAAAACATCTTAATACCAAAAAAATTATGAACACCGAAGTGGGTTAATTGTGATAAAAGCATATAAATATTCTACAGACATTAAAATGAATATTTGTGAATGATATGAATAATTGTTTATAAGGCATTATATTAAAATGTATGTACATATATATGAGTATAATCTCAATTTTATGAAATTTTGTACATTTATAAATACACAACCCCCCCCAAACACACATACATTCAAAAAGCACTAGAAGGAAATACATCAAAATATACTTTTTTCTTCTTTGTATTCCCATGTGTTTTCTGTGTTGATTATAAAAAGGATGTCTCACTTTTGTTTACATCTGAGGATTAAGTGGCCAATCAAGTGATACTTAAGCTTTATTACTATTATTTGAATTTTTATAGATGCATTCATGTATTACTTGCATAACTAAAATAATGCAGAAACAAAAAAGAAAAATGCCATCGGAGACCTGTATTCCCCAGCAGTGGTAAATTCTCCTTCCTTGCGCCTTCTCAGAGAATGGGAAGCTCCTTGAAAAGAGGTTGTCGGTGCCAAGAGATGGCGAAGAGCTTCCCTGTTTCACAGGAGAGTTGCTGAGATCACGATTCTGATGCTGACTTTTCTTTTTCAGGACCAGGGTTTGGTATCTATGCAGTTGTTCATCTCCTCCTTCCTGTGATGTCCCTTTGGCTCCGTCGCAGCCATAAAGACCATTCTTACTGGGATGTGGCCTCTGCGAACTTCAAGCATGCCATTGGCCTGTCCTGTGAGCTGGTGGTGGAGCACATCCAGAGCTTTATACACTCAGGTATCTGTAGCGCCCGGGGAAGCTCGCATGGAGTATTTCCTTAGTAGGCAGCACTGTTGTCTAAAAGTGCTTAGTAAACCCTAATGCAAATACCAGTGCGTGGTTTTTGTCCTGAGAATTATTAAAACATAGAGTGTCCCCAAAAAATGTATACACACACTTTGAATAATTATAAAGGCAGTGTTTGTTAAAATACATTTCATTTTCAGCTATACATTTCATTTTCATAACAACTATCAGCTGTTAAAGCATGTATACATTTTTGGGGGACACCCTATAGAATTACATGGTCAATGCCAACCTTCTAATAGTAGATTGTCAAAAAGAAAATTAGTACTTCTGTGTCTTGTACAAAATTATCAAACAGAATATTTGAAATATATGTACAACCAAAAATAAAATACCTAATAAGGTCTAGGATATCTGTGTATTAGGAGAGGGGAGACAAGTTCAAGTATGTAGTAAGTGTAGCCTGGGGGTGAGGGAGGGATGTATTCTATTGTCCTGCTCCATCTGGGGTGGCGAAATGGAGGAGGCAGGGTTTTAGAACAGGCTGAAATTATGGGCAAGATGTTGCTTAATAGGTTAGGGGTGAAGTGAAGGTACCTAATATCTGTGGCACTTTGAAAAAAGACTTGAAAGTGTGGGGTGTGTTGAAGTCAGCAGACAGAGAGGGAGCCAGATGCAGGGGAAATATGACCACTGTGGTCCCAGTGAAGCAACATTTGTAAAATATAAATTCTTGCTTATGACTCTTGCTGCGCAAAGATCTGGAAATCTGAGAGAAGAAATATTGCTGCTAGCTCTAGAGGTTACAAAGAAGAGGGAAGGGCATGCAGAGGTATAAAGGCAGAGGTGAGGTGAGAGGCTCCCTCTGAGGAGGGGTTAGAGAAATTAATGAGAACTTAACCCCAAGGGAGAGTGGAAAAGCAAAGATAAGAAATGCTGTCTCTACTAAGCTTAGTAGAAAGATTTGGGGGGGGGGCTAATTGAGAAAGAAAAAGAGTGGGTGTTTGCACATGTAGGCGACAAGTTTATCCTTAGGGGTAGGTGTTCCTGACCAGGTCATTGCTTTGCACAGCAGGGGCCTTTGCCGATTATACTGAAAACTGCTTCTGTGGCATCACAAGGACTTTGAGGAAAAGAATACTGACTGTTCCTTGAATTGGGCAAACAGAATGTGATTTTCGGAAGTCTTATTTTCTTTAGCCTGGGGACAGTGTGGAGGCTGAAGCCAGACTGGGTTCAGGAAGTGGGAGGGCGAGAGATTTTTTTTGTTTTCCAACGGCACTTAATCCAATTTAATTTGACTCCCAGCAGTAAGAAAGTATGTCTTATTTTCCCCCCTTTTAAAAAGAATTTAGATTTTTTACTAGCTAGTATTCAGGCTATATGATATGTTCTACTTAGGTAAATAAATTATATACTTAACTTTGAAAAATGTACATGAACACATAAAAGTGAACCACACATTTCATTTTGCTAAATAAAAATGAATATTATATACTTTCATCACAGATGTTTATTTTCCTATCACTCCCACGTCCCTCTTTGCTACAGTTGCCATTTCAACCCATTCATTTATCATAGCGCTGAGTGAAGCCTCGATTTGCCTCTTCCCGCAGACATCAGGTATGAGAGCATGATCAACACCATGCTGAAGGACCTCTTTGAGTTGCTGGTAGCCTGCGTGGCCAAGCCCACGGAAACCATCTCCAGGGTGGGCTGCTCCTGCATTAGGTGAGAAGAAGGCTTCTTGGCTCTCTACGAAACTGGAGTTTTTATTATGAAATCCAAGGGCACTAAATTATCTTTTGTGGTAACGAGCTACTTTTTAGATTGGTTTTTAGAAAAATGACTGTGCTAATATTTCTTCATTTCGGTGTTCAGTCGGCAAATATTCATTGTGTAGGCGTTACACAGGTACTCTGCGGCACAGAGAGGTGTAGGCCAAGGTCCCCACCCTCAAGGAGCAGATATCCCATTCCAAAGGGCATAACAGATTCATGCAGAGAATCATCACACTAAGGAGTTACCATAAGTGCCAAAAATGGAAAGGAGGGGAGCAGGGTGGTCAACAGGGCTTTTTGTAATGACACTGATCAGATCTCCCAAGGTGAGCTTTGTGACAGGGGGGGACTTGGCAAGCAGGAGACCATCATGAGCAAAATACATGGAGATAAGAATTACAAGTGACAAAGAGGTTTTTTTATTGTTTTGTTTATTTGTAGAGGAGCAGTGGACAACGGGGCTGGAATGAAAACATTAGTACAGAATATACAGTCTTGCATGCAAGCCTGAGTTTAAACATTGGCCTGTTTGTAATGGGGATCACTGATATTTTTACACTAACATGGTTCAGAAAGTAGTAGTATTGACAACGAACCACCAGATGGATTGAAGGCAAGAGTGATGAAAGACAGCAAGACTTGTAAGGAAACTATGGAATAAATTGTGTATGTGTCCGTAAGGGTCTAAGTGGTGTGGCAGTAAAGGTATGGATTTAAGACTTCGAGTTTCTTCTGGAAGGTACGTCCTCGTGACGGCGGGCCCTGTGTTCACGGAAGAAATGTGGAGGCTGGCCTGCTGTGCCCTGCAGGACGCATTCTCTGCCACCCTCAAGCCCGTGAAGGTAAAGTGCTTGGAGAGAGCCAGAGCAGGGTCCAGTCCTCCCTAGCTCCCTGGTGCCCCGTCGAGTTGGCCACGTGGATTCCACCTTCCTCCTCATAGCAGGCGGTCTCAGTTAAAACCGTGCAGAGGGTGAGAAAGGAGTAGTGGCATCATTACTTTTGTCCCAGGCACAGTGACAGTGTCAGACCTGAGACAGAGTCTGGAGCCATGAACCCAGATGCAGCCGGTGAACGACGACTGTGTCTCCCCCTAGGACCTGCTGGGCTGCTTCCACAGCGGCACCGAGAGCTTCAGTGGGGAAGGCTGCCAGGTGAGGGTGGCAGCCCCCTCCTCCTCGCCCAGTGCCGAGGCCGAGTACTGGCGTATCCGAGCCATGGCTCAACAGGTAAGGCTGGGCCTTCCGATCCCAGGGGCTCTGGAGCTTGGCATGCTGCTGGGGGTCCCCCCTGAAGGTCCTCATCACCAAGCTGCCTTTCATTCCCTTAGGGACCTATGCCTGCTGTCTCTGACCTCTTGCCAGGACTGTCCTTTACCGGAAACTTCTGGTCCTCCCAGCATTATGGTTCTCCCCGCCATCTCTTGTTTGTTGCATCCTGCAGGGCCCAGATCAAACAGAGTCCTTTCCCACCTGGCCATGCCCTTCATACCCAGCTTGATTTGCTTGGACCACTTCTAAGTATTTGCTTAAATATTGTTCTTCCTGCTGGACTGTGAGTGCCTAAGGATGGCAAACTTATTCCATATTTTTCTCTTCTCCCATACAGAGGACAGAGCTTAACATTGACAGGTTTCTTAATAAATTTGAGTTGAATTTGACTGATCAGTAAAATTAAAATGTACTTAACCATGCAGGTTTGACTGTGCACTTTTTCTTCTGGCGCATGTCAAAAGTAAGTCTGGCTAGGAATGATAACAGAGAAGCCAAAAGGGTGGTCCCCCAAAGGGGTGGCTCCTCCACATAGGAAGCCATCACACCTGGCTAAGTAAAGAATTTTCCTATGTGCATCCCGTGGTCTCTTCAGCCACATCCCACCACACAGTGAGACTGTGAAAGTGCCGGTGGAATCCTCTGAAGTAGATCGTGCATGGCAAAGAACAGCAGAGAATCTTTCACTCCCCAATACTTAGTGAATCTTTCGCTCCCTATTATTTCTCTTTCTTCCTCAGTCCCAAACCTTCCTCCTGTGTTCACTCTGCACATAACTCAGTATTCAGTAATCTCATCATTCTTACAAACGTGGAAAGAAAAAGTTCCTTAGACGTACTCGTACTTTCAGAGGGAAGCAGCGAAGGTAGTTAAATCATGTAAAGTGAAATTCCGTGGCTCAGAATCCAAGCAGTGGTTAGTCTTCTCTTAGTCACTTCTCCTGTCAGGACCAGAGACGTGGCCATGCTACTCTACTAGACAGCCCGAGGAGTCCTGATTAACTTCTTTTATTTTTCTGTGTTGGGCAGAATATGATACCAGAGGTCACAGAGATCTTTTACAAGCACAGCCTCTCTTTATTTACTTTAAATTAATATTAAACATCAGCGCCTGCCCTTAGGAGTGTGATGAATTATCACGTGCTAGAAGTAGTAGCATTATTAGTGTCAGCAGCTAGCACTTATTGAATATTTATTTGCTCTTCTCATGCTTTGCCTACGTACTACACACGTGTTAATTAATTTAATTCTCTCGACAAATATACCAGGCAGGAAACCATTATCAACCTCACTTCATAGGTGAGAAAATGAGTAGAAATAAGCACCTGGCCATGGGCAGCCAGCTAACCTCTGGAGTCAGGTGGACCATCCTGGAGCTCTGAACTGTGCCTTTGTGTGCTCGTACAGGTGTTTATGTTGGACACCCAGTGCTCACCAAAGACTCCAAACAACTTCGACCATGCGCAGTCCTGTCAGCTCATTATTGAGCTGCCTCCTGATGAAAAGCCAAATGGACACACCAAGAAAAGGTAAGCAGTGAAGCTTAAACACGTGCGAGGCTCACGAATAGGAAAGTTCATTCAGACCCGTCTTTGCTCATTGTGATCCCAGCTTTCTCTAAGAATACTGAAGTACAGGGTGTCCCAAAAAATGTATACACACTTTGAATAATTGTTAATTCCAACGGGTTAAATCTGAAAAGAAACATCAATTTAGCTATCAAAAAATAAATAAATAAATGTGTATATACACACACACACACACACACACACACACTTTTGGGGGGGGAATCCTATATTTGCAGTCATTTAGCAAAGGTTGTCATACAAAATTATTAGCCTTTTAACCATATTTCCCACATTTCAGACGTATTAGTTTGCTAGGGCTGCCACAACGAAGTACCATAGAGTGGTTGGCTTAAACAACAGAATTTATTTCTCACAGTCCTGGAGGCTGGAAGTCGGAGATTGAAGTGGCACCAGGGTTGGTTTCTTTTGTGTTTCTAGATGGATGTTTTCTCCCTGTGTCTTCACGTGCTCTTTCCTCTGTACCTGTGTCCTGATCTCCTCTTCTTATAAGGACATCAGTCATATTGGATTAGGAGGTCACCCTCATGACCTCCTGTCTTAACCTAATTATTTCTTTAAAGACCTTTCTCCAAAGGTAGTCACATTCTGAGGTACTGTGGGTTAGGACTCAACATGTGAATGTGGGGGTGGGGGTCACAACTCAGTGTGTCTATAGCATCATACAATTATTTTTTAAAAAGTTATAATATGTAATTTGATGTGTGATTCATATTGTACCACTGAGAGATACACAAAAAGACCTGTGCCCTGCCACAAGAAACTTGCTCTTTTTAAGTACAAGCATAGCTCACAGATATTGCAGGGTAAGTTCCACACCATCGCAATAAAGTGAGTAGCACAAAAAAGCAAGGCATAATCTTTTTTGCTGGTGTAGAATCTTGCCTTCAATTTGTTAAAAATCACAACATTTGTGAAGTGCAATAAAATGAGGTGTGCCTGTCCTACCATCCTGCCTAGAAACTCGTCTTGAAGATGAAGGCAGTGACTCAAGTTTTCCATTTTTAAACTTGCAACAAACTACAAGTAATGATGATAACTATTTGAGCACAATATGTGAAGTATAGTGGCTAGATATTTCCACTCCCATTGATCTCTGAGGAGATATTGAGAGAGACTGGGTCACTTCTCCAGAGTCACATAGCTGTGAAGTGGGGGAGCCAGAATCGAAACCATTTCCATTTCTGGGAGAGTGTGTGATTGTCCAAAAGTGAGCTGCTTAGTACGGCCATTTGATTAATGCAACCATTTCAGTGAAATTCCCAGGCACAATTTTTTTAGTCAAGTGTGTAGTACATACAAAAGAAGATGAGGAAGGCTCAAAAGTTATAAAGAATAAATAAAAACTAAAATAACTATGAGCTGTAAGCCACCTTCAGGAATAGAGTTTTACCAATACCCCGCTTGCTCCTCCCCAATTCTATGCCTGGTTTCCCTTTACTGCCAGTCACTCATTTTTATCTGTGTGCACCAAATGTTGTATACTCCTTTTCATATCTTTGCAGCATTGATCTATTTCAGAATTCCAATTCTTTTCCTACCTGTTTTCTTTTTATTATTATTTCTAGTTTCCTTCCAACCAATTATTCTTGCAAAAAGTAGGAAAAATGGGGAAGGAATAGGCTAAATTCATATTATAAATGAAACAGGAAAAAAAAAAATAGCCCAATATTTCTATGCTATTGGTTTAAAGGTTTTAAAAGGTTAAGATTTTAAAATATATCAGCATGATTCATCAGTTTACTTAGTACATTTAATGGACAGTTAGCCTCTCAGTGAAATTAAGTAAAACACAAAAAGCATACTAAATTTTTTAGCAATGGCCATTGTGCCCAAAAGCATTCCCTAACCTTCTTTAAATATTTTACATTCTTGGATTTGATGCAGGGACAGTTCTTGCTGGTCAGTTACATTCTCAAAGGTCCATGTTGAAATCGCCCATGGGGAAAAAATAAATTAATTAAATACAAATTACAACACTTAAGAGAAATCTGGGTTTTGTTTTTAAGTCAGTTTGACACAATTCACATAATTGTAATGGAGCTTTACGTTGTATAGTTGACCCTTGAACAACACGGGTTAGGGATGACAACCCCCCCACAGTCAAAAATCTGCACTTAACTCCCCCCAAATTTAACTACAAATGGCCTACTGTTGACCAGAAGCCTTACTGATAATATAAACAGTTGAGTAACACATATTTTGCATGCTATATGTATTATGTACTGTATTCTTATAATAAAGTAAGCCAGAGAAAAGGAAGTGTTATTGAGAAAATCATAAGGAAAATACATTTACAGTATTTATTGAAAAAAATCCATGGGTAAGTCTACCTGCTGACTCCAAACCCGTCATTCAAGGGTCAGCTGGACCTTAAACTGTGAATCTGTTTATCTCTGATACTGACTTAAATCAGCCACTTGTTATGCAGCTAATTCTCAATTATCTAATCCCCCAACTTGCTCTCCTTTGCACTTTGCATCAGAAGCAGAAAAGGAAGATGCAGGTTTCAGTGCTTCATAGCCCCCTTCTTAAAGGGTGTGCCAAGAACCAGGTTGAAACACCTGGCTACCACAAATGGAAAGATTATCTGTAGACTTTTGTTTGCTTCAGATCTTTCCTGTCTCTGACCAGCGTGGATGACTAAGAGTTGTATATCTATATACAGTTACTTCACTTTTGGATATCTTTCTGAAATTTTGATCTCTCCACCATTGCTTCTTTGTCCACTGTTTTCTTATTTAGCCTGAACCTAAAGTAAGGGGATTTTCTGTCCCTCTCACATGCAGTTAGCAGTTTCACATCCTAAAGTGTCAAATGGAATATCTTCTACTATTTTTCTAAGGCATGCAGATAACTGTTAATCAGTATCATAACTTAATTGTATAGATCCTAGATTTTGAAAAGTGTCAGGAATGCCATTTATGATGAAAATGGTTTTTGTGTAATGCCCTTTTCAAAGGAAGGCATTAAAATACACGTAATTTAGTTTATAATTTTGCGTATGTCGTTTTGAAATGTGTTAACACTTAAAAAATATCTCACATGAGGCAGAAGGCTACTAATCGATCCCTTTCCCTTCCTTCAAAGTGTTTCTTTCAGGGAAATTGTGGTGAGCCTACTGTCTCATCAAGTGTTACTCCAGAACTTATATGACATCTTGTTAGAAGAGTTTGTCAAAGGCCCCTCTCCGGGGGAGGAGAAGACCCTCCAAGTGCCGGAAGCCAAGCTGGCCGGCTTCCTCAGATACATCTCCATGCAGAACCTGGCCGTCATCTTCGACCTGCTGCTGGACTCCTACCGGACGGCCAGGGAGTTCGACACCAGCCCGGGGCTGAAGTGCCTGCTGAAGAAAGTGTCCGGCATCGGCGGCGCCGCCAACCTCTACCGCCAGTCCGCCATGAGCTTCAACATCTACTTCCACGCGCTGGTCTGTGCGGTGCTCACCAATCAAGAAACCATCACTGCCGAGCAGGTGAAGAAGGTCCTTTTCGAGGACGAGGAGAGGAGCACCGATTCGTCCCAGCAGTGTTCGTCGGAAGATGAAGACATCTTCGAGGAGACGGCCCAGGTGAGCCCCCCGCGGGGCAAGGAGAAGAGGCAGTGGCGGGCGCGGATGCCGTCCCTCAGCGTCCAGCCCGTCAGCAACGCCGACTGGGTGTGGCTGGTCAAGAGGCTTCACAAGCTGTGCATGGAGCTGTGCAACAACTACATCCAGATGCACCTGGACCTGGAGAGCGGCCTGGAGGAGGCGCCCGCCTTCCGGAGCGACCCCTTCTTTACCCTGCCCTCCTTCCCGTCCGAGTCCTCCACGCCGTCCACCGGGGGCTTCTCGGGGAAAGACACCCCTTCCGAGGACGACCGGAGTCAGAGTCGGGATCACGCCGGCGAGCCCCTGAGCCTGAGGGGGGGCGGCGGGGACGCGCCGATGCTGCCCCCGAGCCCCAAGGTGGACAAGAAGGACCCCGGCCGGAAGAAGGAGTGGTGGGAGAGCGCGGGCAACAAAATCTACAACATGGCCGCCGACAAGACCATCTCCAAGTTGATGACGGAATACAAAAAGAGGAAACAGCAGCACAACCTGCCCGCGTTCCCCAAAGAGGTCAAAGTGGAGAAGAAGGGGGAGCCCCTGGGCCCCCGGGGCCAAGACTCGCCGCTGCTTCAGCGGCCCCAGCACTTGATAGACCAGGGACAGATGCGGCACTCCTTCAGCGCGGGCCCCGAGCTGCTGCGCCAGGAGAAGCGGCCGCGCTCGGGCTCCACCGGCAGCTCCCGGAGCGTCTCCG